GCTAAATTTCACATAGATGATTTGTGTTCGATTGTAGTATTTGAGTCAGGTAAGGATTTTTTTTCCCCCTGGATACAATTAGGATGTTGTTCTTTGTTAATAGTTTGAACAAGATTAACTATTAGAATTTAGAACAAAAGGCTGCAATTAATGTGATCCGACCATAGTAACTTTAGGAGTAATTTTTTTTTTTTTTTGCCCTTCAAATAAATCTGAAAATTTAGAACATTGATGAGAAGGAAAACCATTTCCATTACTATATAATAATAATAGATTATACTATACTAGTACTAAATAATGAACGAGAAATGAATTAGGACAAAGATTAAATTGTAATCAAGGAGCAATTAGTTATAGCAAATGTCATCTACAGAACATCACAAACAATCTCCACCCATCTCGCCAGTTTCGCAATCCGCTCTGGGCTTCCTTCTCCAATTCGACTCCGATCCAAGTAGGTCAAACGATTTGATACACTTTTTTATGAAAACATATTTTCTGCCTCTCTAATTCATTGCATATCCAGTTCTTTTGATTGGCAATCCCTCACGCGCTCAATTTGTGTTTGGATCTCAGATAAAATGATTCACTTGTTCTATTTTGTGACGAGGGATATGAATGATTCCTTATTGCATGATTTATAATTCATGATTTCACTTAGATTTCAATTGTTTCTTGTCTACACAGATTATATGCATATCGGTTCCAATTATGTGCTAGCAAAGAACCTAAAAAACACCGACTGGAAACACTCCATTCATCATGGTTTATGGAGCTTCAGCTCTCATCCCCCGGTCAGCTGTCTACGATTGGCAGTACCGCATTGATTGTTTGGTGGAATTGGATCCTTTGTGACATCGCTGCTATGTGATCTATTTGGCAGTGGAGGAGAACCCTAGCGTAGATGACAAAAGAGAAATGTCTTCTGATAGATTTTGCATTCCCATCATTTAACCTACTTACAGTTAAGATCAATAATATGCCAATTTTTAACATTATGCTTTGATTCATCTGCTTACCAAAGGCTTTTTGCATGCTTTTAGTGGGATGACAAAGATATAATGATCAGGAAATTGACAGCTGAATTGTAGAGAGAGAGGAAGGGATCTGCAGCTATCCAAAGACAGTTTGATATGGCTTTAAGAGATATGGAAGAACATTCAGAATATCTAACGAGAAGTATAGAAGGCATTACCAAGAACTTGAAGAAAATTGAATGAAGCTGAATCATATTCTCCCCAAGCTGATAGACTCACTCATGGGATTGCCACCACTTTTGTTACTTTTGACGGCCTATTTTACTTTGTGGATACTCCAGAGCTTGCCAAATTTGCAAGTTTCGGCTTCACCATAACAGTTGTAAATTGAGAATGTATTTACTGTAGATTAGCAAGGATATCATATATTCATACAGTCCAATTATGGTACATAGCTGAATGAGAAAATAGGGTTACACAAGAGGAACATTCTTTTCCCTCTTGATTATAACAAGGTGTATCGAGTTACTACTATTTTGCAGTTAATAAAATCGAAACTTTAATTTTTTTCACCCCACAAAATAATTGTCATATTGATTTCGTTTATTCCTTATGAAAAAGAAGATATCATACACCTAAAGCTCTAGTAAAACATTTTTGGAAGACTGATGTTGATGGAACTCAACATTTATAGTTTAAACAGTTTACAGGATTTATTTGCTCCATTGGATTTGAAAATTGTCTTACCTTATTGTTATTATCTTGGTTCGTAGAGTATTGGTTTGAGTTGTCTTGTTGGAGATTATCTTCTATGCCTCTTCAACTTTTTATACCTCAGTGAGTTAGTTGATCTGGTTAGTTCGTGTTTACAAAAGACACTGATACGAGTACCATTCTTGAGTATAATGTTTTTTCGCGCTTACGACAAGGGTGGCCTTACTATAAAGCAAGTAAAGCAGCATCAGTGTTGGGTAAGGCCCCTAATTATCTAACATTAATCAGAAAATTCTAATTTTCTCTTTTTTTAGAAAAGGTAAAAAACGAACTCGACCAATTTAAAATGTAAAGAATGTTAGATTTATGTTGATGATGTAAATATAAAATCAATTAACATGAAAAAAGCTCCCTTAGTCATGCAAATTCCATTCACACGAAGATGATTAGAGATATTGATGCTTAAATTTTTTTGAGAATTACAAAAAATATTAATTGATATAATTAATTATAAAACTTGATATTTTATACTATTATAATGTCAACTGCTACTATGAAAGTTGATTGTCCAAAAAGAAATTTTGCTAGCTAAACGAATTAAAACAATTTAACACATTGTGACTATCTCATTAGTTGAAAAAAAAATCAAAATGAATTTGTTTGTTAAGGAACATTAACTAAAAATTTTACATCCAAAAAATTTTAACAAAATAATATTCACATAAATTACAAATTAACTAAATTTCTCATAAATTTTACATGATTAACATTATCTTTAGATAGTGTTTTAAAAATTTAAAAGAATCCAGTTTTATACTCGCTTGAGGCCTCATTTAATGTTAAGCCGCCCGTGGCTTGCGATACCATGTTTTATTCCGAAACTATCAAAGTCTGAGTGGATGTTTGTGTAGATTTTCATGGGTCTCACCCTCATTGTGGTTGAGGGTTACTTTTCAACTTCAAAAGTTTGCCTATTTACCTGTCCCGTTGTTGGTACAATGAGTTCACCGGATTTCAACGGAAAATAGTTAGTTGTCTTAATGGAAGGAATTGTTGAGTTTATTAGGGGTTCTATTTTGTTTTCTCCGGCTGTATGTATGAAATGACACTAAGCACTTTCTCTATTATAGAAGAGACGATTTTGATCTCGACGTTAATTTTTCTGTTGAAAATTGACAATTTCTTGTAACATCAATATTGATTGATATAAACTCATCACACCTATGGTTTTGGTGAAAACTCTTTGCGTCGGCTTTTTTTCGCCACCTTAACAAGTTGGGGAGAAAGTCGACACAATCAAACTTTATTTATTCATTATTATTATTTTTTTCATTTTTGAAGTTGAATATTGTTTTTTTAATGATTCAAAAGGAATGGTGAAATAGTATCTTGCTACTGAAGAAAGAAATACTCTAAACTTTTGAATTTGGAAAAACCAATAAATTATGATTTATTCGTCACGAAATGATTGTCTAGTTTGAATTTTCACTTTTAATATAATTTATACTGAAGATAAAAAATTAAATTAGACAATTATTTCGGAAAGGAGGGATACATCTTATATAAATTAATCACATATTTTTTAATTTGAGAAATGATTGACCATTGAAAATTTTATACGAAAAATAGAAAATTATCGCGTGATTTTTGTTCTTTTTTTATTTTTTGCTGAAGTAAAAATCTACGAGTAAGGAGACTAATGTAATAGACTTCACCTTTTCAATTCAACCGGCCTCACCATTCCATACCCGACTACAATGTATGCACGATAAGGAAGCGTTGTAAAAAACTTTCAATGTCCATTTCTAAATCGCCTATTGAAAACTTCTTGCTTCGTTTTCTGTTTGATACATCAATATCGATAAACACTTTTTCACACGTAGTTTCTCGGATGAAAATTGTTGACGTCAAATCTGTCATGGATTTCTTGCAAAGAAGTCCATACAACTAAACTTTAAAATATTTTCAATTTAAATGATAAATTTCCATGATTCAAAATGAGTGATGAATTATATTATATATATTGATCATTCGTTCACAAAAAAAAATAAAAAATTGTCCACATTAAATTTAAAATTGGTACTAAAGTAAAAAAGAATAGTTCACATTCATCTTTTTTTGGGAGAGAGGGTATATTGCAAATTAAGAAAAAAAGATGAAAACTAATAATAGCAAGCAAATAATTTCAAAAGCCTACTAAAATTATTGAGACGGCTTTAATTGACAAATTTGGCATAAGACAAAATCAAACCAATAATACACTTCATTTTCAACTTAGAGCCATCGGGCTTTCTAACCATACTAACCAAAAAGACAACTATATCAACCCCTATTTAAAGATTGAGATTCAGTGATGACGTACTGATGCTGATGGATAACAACATCGAAACAAAGGTGGTTTATACTCTCAACGTTACAGAATCACTTCGATGGAATGATGGTTATTTTTGTACTCTTTGGGGCTTTATACATGGACAGATACCATAAGTCACGCAGTAAAATGTCAAAGAATCGCCTTATCAACCTAATTGGTTGTGGTGGAGTGGTAGAAATTCTTTCACCCTTAATCATAAGTCGATGGTTCGAATCTTGCTAAGTAACCTTAAATATTTTGACCAACTCTGCCACCTATTGAGGTGTCTACAATTCAGTGAAGGTGATTAGTCTGTTGCAGACGGTAGACACCCTGCAAATATACAAAAAAAAAAAGAATCGCCTTACCCGAAAATAAAGAAATATTTTCTTCTTTTGTTTTTTTGGGTAAAATAACTCAACCAGCTGGCTAAGTTTCAGTCATATACAACTAGATGAATCAGTAAATCAGTCTCTAATAACAGTAAAACAGTAGAAGAATTAATATTGCTCCATTAGTTTCGAAATTGCTGCTCAGTTTAAATTTTTATTTTTAATATAAATTAAATTAAAAGTGAAAATTGAAACTAAACAATAATTTTTAGAACAATTTATATTAAAATAAAATAAAAGAAAAAAAAAGAGAAAAAGGAAGTCAAAACTCAAAACTGGCAAAGCTCTCTTTTGAAGCAGCCGGAATAAATATTAAATAGAGGGAATCAAACACCGATACTACTACATTACTAGACTCTATAACTCTATTCTCCGAAGTTCCCATTTGAAGGCAGGTTTGAACTACTGCAATTAGACGCGGTACTTCCTTTCTTCCACCTAAAACTTGTTAAATTTGAAGTCCTTTTATTTTTGTTGTTGAAGTTATGTGTTGAAATTTAAGGGTTGTGTATTCTGGGATTCACAGATTTGGGAGTAAACAGCATTTTGACTTTGGAGTCGAAGATGGGAGATGGAGAGGGGCATCCTTACGTTCCGAGTGACATGAAATTGCCTGGTTTTGTGCCCCAATTGATACCCACATCCACCATTCTTGGCGTTTATCTCGGCGTTTCAACTCTGGTCGTCCTCGTCACCTGGATCGGCTCCGGTGAGTTCTTGCCTGCCGAATCTTACAAAAGGGCCTGAAAAATGTATTTCCGTTGTGTTATAATCTTACTGTTTTTGTATTAGTTTGGGCTTTTATTGTTGGAGATTATCTTCAATTCTTCTTCCTGTTCTTTTTTTCTTCTTGTTGAGTAGTAACTTAGTTGACCTGGCTAGATTCGTACTAGAATTCCACCAATTAGAATTAGAGTTTCATTCTTTTCATAATTTGGTTTGTACTTATCCAAATCTTCTTGTGAATGGTGCAATGCTGTCGTACTAATGCTGGTTTCGATTATTATTATTTTTTTTTTTTTGGCACATTACTGCCTGCTTATGCTATGAGTGCGCGCAGGTTATCTTGTCTTATGTTTACAGATTTATCATAATTGTCATTGATTTATTATAGAATGGACTATGGATGACCCTTTGTGGAGTAATCGATCTGGTGCGTTATCAAGTTATTGCTTTCCATAGTATCTACATGGAGTCTTAAGATTCTTGGTTGACTAATAAATAGTAATTCTTGTAGCCTAGGTCGCAGATACCTGGTTACCTAGTTTTCATTCACTGGTTAATTGCGTGATTGGTGTGTCATGCTTGTTGTGTTAAGCTACCAAAAACTTGATGTTGTACATCTTCTACGGGGCTTCATGTTCCTAAACTGTTTATCAACCTGTTACCCCTTGGCTTCAATTAGATGCTTGGGGATCACCCCCAACTTCAACTTAGTTATGTAATTCTTAGCTCAATTTGTTGTCTTGCTGCTAACTTTGGACTTAGATTCCCTGGTTTGACTCAACAGCAGTCAAACTAAAATGTTCTTTGAACCTTTCAAGCCAGCATAGAAATTCAATAACAGCATAATAATATACTTTGTCAGCATACTTAGATTATGTAGTGGATCATTTATCTGGATAATGGCTATGCTTGAATTTTGGCAATTACATATCTTAATCCAAGTATCATTCTTGAGTAAGAATTATTGACTTTTTTGTGTTTGCGACACCAGGTTTTATTCGGAAACTATCAAAGTCTGAGAGGACACTTATGTGCTGGTGGATTTTCACGGGTCTCACCCACATGGTGCTGGAGGGTTACTTTGTATTTACTCCTGATTTCTACAAGAAAACTTCCCCTATTTATCTTGCAGAAGTTTGTAAGTATTGTCCTCAGTTTTTCCTCAAAGTTGGTATTGTCCTTTCTCATTTTGGCAAAATGAGTTACTTGATTTACAATGAAAATGGCAGGGAAGGAGTATAGCAAAGGTGATTCTCGATATGCTGCGAGAAATTCTGCAGTTGTCTCAATAGAAGGAGTTACTGCAGTATTAGAGGGCCCATTTTGCCTTCTCTGTTTGTAAGTACATAACCAAGAACTTGATATATATTATTTACAAGAACAATTCTGATATTGTTAATCTTGCTTTAATTTGAATTCCATTCCCTACTCTAATGATTATAATGCGGCTTGAATTTTGTAGATACGCTATAGCTGCAAAGAAGTCATACAGGCATGTACTTCAGCTGGCCATTTCTCTAGGACAGCTCTATGGGACCATTGTGTACTTCGTAACGTCTTACCTGGATGGAGATAATTTCGCCACAAACTCGATATACTATTATGGATACTATGTCCTTGCAAATTCCTTTTGGATTGTCATCCCATCAGCAATATTAATCCACTGCTGGAGGAAGATTTGTGCCGCAGTCGGGGATCAGGATCAGAAGAAGACCAAATCGCTATAAGTTGGCCTTCGGCTAGATGCTTTTGAAATGTTACATGTCAAATCAATTGTAAGGCAACAGAATTGCCAGGGATATTGTCAATTCATGAGGACTAATGTGTTGAAAGTTGGACTGAGAGATCCAGCCCAGCCTGATTTTTCCACTTACTAGAATTTTCTTTCCATTCTCTTCAACCTCCTCTCTTACTGTAATCCGTTGAAGGCCATGGTCTTTGGGGTATTCCTGTTGGCATCTCTCATGGTAGTTTTGCCAACGGGGAAGCTAGCCAGTAAAACTTCTTGAATCGAAGCATTAGATCGATCATATAATAGACTTCGGAGGACTTTTCTTTTGCTCTCTTTCTTGAAATGGGGTGGCGTAGTCTTATCGAAGGTTCAGGACCTCTTCTCTTGATCTTCTTCAGATTTCCAGGATTCTTAAACTAGTTCCTCAGAGAGACTGGTTGTGAGAAAGTATTAAAATTCAATTTGCATTGGTCTAGAAAATAGCCTCCCAACTTACATTGTGATGAAGAACTGAATCATTGAGTTAAACTAACATACAGTCTTAAATTAAATCACAGATGTATCAAATAGTGAAAGTGCTATATAATTCCTAAAATTGATTCTAGTATAAAAAGCAGGTACGTGGGTTCCTGTCCATGACAAGCCCTTCACAGATTTTTTTTTTTTTTTCGCCAAACGCCATGAACTCAATGAAATTGAGATTAAAAACATAGTATGAAACATTTTCTTCTTTTTTTTAAAACAAAAAAAAAAAAACAATGATTAATACAGAAAGAACAGTAGGAGTGAACTGCAACCAGCATTGTGATTTCCTCGGAATCCAGCTTGAAGGGCCTCAGAAAAACTACCTGCATCTCGGTTAAATAATGACCTTCAGATCTGAGTTTCCAAACTCCTCCTGTAATTCCTCAATCTGCTTCACCCTTTCAACGACTTTAGGGCAACGAATGACCTTGATCATTTGGAGCGCAGGACATGTTTCTAGACAAGAGGGCAAATGATTCAGGAAAAGGCAATCCCTCAATTCCAACTCCTCAAGAGACCTCAATTGATCTTCAGAAGCACTCCACGACTTAAGCCACCTGGAATTACTCAATTCCAATATTCTAAGTTCGGAGAATTCCTCTTCTTCCATTGTCAACGTGTCCCCTTCGAAATCAGTACCCTCTAATTTGAGGACTCCAAGATTTGGCAATTTGCCAATGCTTGAAAGACACTTCTTAGACAAAGGAATGCCTGACAGTGACAATTTCTCCAGATTTGCAGGAAAACTCAACTCAAATTTAATGCCTTCGGGTTTCCCAGATTTATCCACGGACATATTGAGTGATTTCAGCTGAGCCAATGACACAAGAGCTGCAATCTGGACAAGCTTTCCTGCATGACTATTGTCAAATCCCTGGATTCTGCATTTCAACTTGCGGATATTTGGAAACATTTTCATTACCCTTTCCATTCTCCAGTCAGAAGGCAAAATGACACCAGAAACTCTATCCAAGAACTCCCACGAGCTACAGGGACTGTTGTGATCAAGATTGTCAATGTGCAAAACACCCGGAGCAACGCCATTCATGTAAAGATGCTTCAATTTCTGTAAATTCCGGACTGTGACCGGCAAGGAAAGTTCCTTGTCCGATGACAATTCACCTATAATAAGTGTCTCCAAATTAGAGAGGCCACCGATTGTGTCCGGGATTTTCAAACTATATCCTCGAATTGCAAAGAAAGCCAGCAGAACAAGTAGTCTTATCTCACTTGGAATCTCAGCACATAACTCCATTTGCTCCAGGTCTAGTACTCTTACAAATTTCCAGATGCGCAAATGCATGACTGAGATTTTCGTCTTCATCGGCTTGTTGTTTAAACTGACTCGGAGAGAGCGAAGCCGAGGCCAGTATACTTTCGAGTCCAGCACATGCTCGAAACCGGAGTTAATGCATAACCTCCATGGGTGGCGCGGCTCCTTGAATGCTGACAGCGCCTCATATCCTCCTTCAATGAAATGGAAAAAGGGTTCATCTTGGACTTTCTGCAAACAACATTCACGAAGCAAGTCATGAATGCGGCAGGTTCGTTTTCCACCTCTGGATCTGTTCTTGGTTACCATTAGTAAGTTTCTGACAGTCAAATCATTCAGATACCCCTCAGCAACATCTAAGGCGCGCTTCATCTCTGCTTTTCGAATGAATCCCTCGGCCATCCACAAATACAGCAACCTCTTGACAGAGACTTGTTGATCTTCTCGAGATGTTGCGAGATAGAGAAGGCATTGTTTTAAATGCTCCGGTAGATTACTATAACTGAGCTCCAGTTTGTCCTTAGATGTACTATTTCTTGACCTTAAAGTTTCCAGAACTTTATTCCATTCCTTCGGGGCAGTGGAATTTAGGAGTCCAGCTACAGTGCCAATGTCAAGAGGTAATCCATTGCTAATTTGAAAAACTTGCCTCCGAAAATTTGTGTCTAATGCAGGGGACTCGGCACTTGCAGTGGATAATTTCATCCGAAATAACTTGAAGCTCTCCTTTTCATTAAGTGATCTGAGCTTATGAGGTGTCTTATCAAGCTCAGCCACCGCCTCCTGCTTTCGAGTGGTCAACAAAATCCTACTTCCGTTACGGTCATCGGGAAATGCTAGTTTCAAGCCACTCCAGGCATCAGCATCCCAAATATCATCCAAAACGATCAAATATGTCTATCCCTTCAAACTGCGCCTCAGTTCGTTCGCTACATCATCCGCAGTTGTTTCAGAAGTAACCAGCGAACCTTGTGTGTGATTAACTTGATTTAAAAGTTCAAGCAACACTCTCTTTCTGTCAAATTTCTGAGAAACTCCAGTGATTGCACGGGCTGAGAAATGGTAGAAGATAGAAGGATGATCATAAACTTTTTCGGCCAATGTGGTCTTGCCTATTCCCGACATACCAACAATGGACACAATCTGCAATTTCTCCATCGCCCTATTCTTGAGCCGATTGATAACTGACTCTGCATCATGGTCGAAGCCTACAACCTGACGTTTTGCAATAGAGGGAGTTGTTGTTGTTGTTGTTGATCGCACTCGACTGTTAGTCCTCCTGGTGACTTTCTGCCGTTTGATGATCTCTTCTATTTCTTGCAGAATATTGCGGATATCTATCACAATAGAATCAAACAATGTTGAAATATGATGCTGTGGAATATCACCGGCCAAGAGGTAGTTGATGATACGCTCCACCTTGAATGCCACCTCCAAACCACGAACCCAAAGATCTTGGATTTCCTGCTTATCATGATTCGGCGATTCCACAACATGCGCCAAGAGAGATCTTAAGTTGCTGAGTTCATTTCGGATAGTTTCAGCATGACTTTTGGAGCTGGCATCGCTAATTGTCAGCTCCATCAATTCCTCTAGCAAAAAGTCCAAAAAAGCCAAATGTGTGCTACTTTTTGGTACTTCAGGATCCTTTTCTTCAAATCTGCCTTCAACGTCCTTGAGTGCTTCTAACAAATTCTCAAGAAGGTTAAGGTCTACTTGTGCCTGTGCTTGGTATAATGGGAAAATGAAGACTCCAGCATCACACATTAGATCTCTAATTTCCTCCTTCACATTCACAGGAAATATGTTTGCTTGCTTCTGCCAAAAAAGCTTCATCCTCAAGAACCTGAGTCCTTCATATAGTTCTTGCAATTGATCCTTCACAGGAAAAAGATCCTTCACAGGAATGAGATCCTTCATAGGGTGATCCAGGGGTAGCAGCTCCCAAAGAACAAATAAGAAACAACCAAAGAGTTCCTTCGGTGGGAGAACAACATCTATACGATTTGTCACACAGGGTAACGATGTCGCCGACTTTGAGCTATGCAGGGATTTAGCATAAATCTCACAGGCACGAGGATCAGTTGGCTTGATCTTTCCAATCAATGCTTGAATCTTGGACAACATTCCTTCACTAACATTTTCTGGAATATGATATGATCCAGAAAGTGTTCCATCATACTGGTAAGCTCCATCCTTAAGAAGGATGTATGCAGCCTCAATAGTTACAGCTCCAGCATGAGCTAACAAATCTTGTATGGGTTTTACATTACCTCCTTGTGTGGCAAAAAGGATGAAACTTTTCAAGAAAATCATCTGCTCTCCCAGGGCTTTCATCTCATCTTGTAAACTTTGAGCTATAAGAAATAAACGATCCAGATAGTCCGCAACATTTTGTTCGTAGTAGCCAATGGTTTCCAACATTTCATCAGTTGAGAAAGAATTTGATTGTCCAGCCGCAGCTAACAAACTTGGTTTCCATTCAGTTGTTTTCTCAACGAAATACATGATGAGCTCTCGACCACCACCGGAATCAACTCTATAAGAGTCGATGAGCTTGGCGACTCTGCGAACAGAATTGCCTATGTTTGCCAAGAAAGATGTCCAACGTTTATCGTGTTCCAAATTTCTAGCAAACACTACAAACATTTTGAGATTCCTTAAGATAAATCTCATGTGCCAAAACATTCTCCGGTCCCCGTGATTGTCGACCAGAATTCTACCTTGTGTGAGGCAGAATCAATACATGGTATGAGGGTGGAGGCCATATTTTCGTTGTGGGATCTGAAATGGCCGCAATGTAAACGAAAGAACGAAATGAATTTGCACAAAAAGCAATCAGAGATATAGAGAGAAGAGTGGTAGGAATAAGTTGAGGAGAAGAAGAAGGTGAGCACAAGGAAAACTGATGAGATGTTGACCAACACATATTTGTTCTGTCTTGCTTCCTTCTCATCGTTTTCCGACATTGACTTTTGGCTGAGTAGTTACGGCTATCATGTTGTTCTCTCTGTTCATTGAACTTAGTCATCGGCTACTAATCATGTGCCTCTCTCTGTTAATTATGCATATTTGTAACAATTAGACCCGCATTCTGCAGTAAAATATACTAATTGGAACGAGAATATTTACAAAATAATAACAAGTTGAAAACGTGCATCAGTATCCAAAGTAATAATGGGGTTTTATTTTTCTATTTTTTTGGAAATAGGACTTTGGAGTGCTTTAGCCCAAGGGAGAAGATGATTGTTTGGACTTCGGAATAAAGAGGATTACTGTACTGATTTCTCTTCTTGAGATTTCCAGGTAGCCTTTTCTACTCCATGGCATTTCCAATGACATTAATTTTTGTTGCTAGGACTAGAAAAATGACTGGATTTTGGCACTATTTTCCATGTTAGTCAATCACAGTAATCCCAGAAAGGCTTAGGAGATTGGCTGGATTCCTCGAATCTTAAACCCTCCATTAGAAGCTATTAGCTGTAGTACGTTATAGATTCCACTCAAGAAGGGTGGGAAAAAGCATTTTGACATTTACAAGAAATAAGGAAAAGGTGTAAAAGCTCGTGTTATGACCGCAGAAGAACAAAGCTAAGGTCAAAACCCAATTCCTAAGTAAGTCTAGGATCAATTAACTTTGAAGATCTGCACCTTCTCAATCCCACCATATTCGATCACATTGCTCTGCCCTAGAACTTGGCCTTTACAAACAATTTACTCCCTCCGTCCGTCCCATTTTATTGGTATAACAAACTAGAGTATTATAATGGGACGAGTATTACGTTTTCATTCTCCAGACCATTGAAAGGATTATCAAACTAGTTCCTCGTAAAGACTGTTTGAGAAAAGGATCAGAATTGGATTCGCATAAGTCTAGATCAATGGCCTCCCCACTTACATTGTGATGAACAACTGAATCGTGGAGCACTTTGACTAACATATACGAGTAGTTTTTAACTTTGCAGGTATGTTAAGCAGTGAAGGTTTTGTATATTTCCTAACATTTCACATATATTTGAACTAAAAGTGAAAATCCAAAGTGGACAATAATTTTAGAACGGAGGGAATATAACTTTATGAAAACAGATATGATGATTCTTTTCATTACAAGCACTTCAAAGTTAAAACGAGTGGAGTGGCCATCGTCATCATTTCAATGAAATGAGATTAAATGCATAACATGTAGAAATCAACCTGAAAAGAGAAAGCAAGACAAAGAGGAGTCGGGGTGTACTGCGATCAGCATTACAGACTTCCTCCAAATCCAGCTTGAAGGGCTGCAGAAAATTTACTTGCGTCTCGATTGAATCATGACCTTCAGATCTGAGTTTCCAAACTCCACCTGTAAGTCCTCAATCTTTTTCACTAATGTTTCAACGACGACACCACAATGAATGACCTTGATCATTTGAAGCGTCTCAAGGGTTCCTAGACAAGAAGGCATCTCTTTCAACACAAGGCAGTCACTCAATTCCAAATCTTCAAGACACATCACTTGATCATCAGGAGCATTCCACCAGTGAAGCCACCTGGAATTCAATTTTAGTATTCTAAGTTTGTAGAATTCCTCTTCTTCCATTGCCCATGTGTCCCCTTCGAAAACAATACCCTCTAATTTGAGGACTTCCAGATTAGGCAATTTGCCAATGCTTGAAAGGCATTTCTTTGACAAAGGTATGCCTGACAATGACAATTTCTTCAGATTTGCAGGAAAACTCAACTCAAACATAATGCCTTCAGGTAGTTTATTGTAGTCTACAGATATATTAAGTGATTTCAGCTGACACAAAGAGACAGGAGCTGCAATCTGGACAAGCTTTCCTGCATGATTATCATCGAATCCTCGAATTCTGCATTTCAACTTGCGGATGTTAGGAAACATTTTCACCACCCGTTCCATCCTCCAGTCATGAGGAAAAATTACTCCAGAAATTCTATCCAACTCATATAAGTAACAGGAATCGTCAAGGTTTTCAATGGGCAAACCACCCCGAAAATGGAGCTTCATGTAAAGATGCTTCAATTTCTTTAGATTCCAGAATGTGATTGGCAAACAGAAGTCCTCCTCCCCGTAATATCCACTGATAATAAGTGTCTCTAAATTAGAGAGGTCACCCACTGACGTTGGGATCCTTACACCGTAGCTTCCAATTGCGAACATGGCCAACAGTACAAGTAATCCTATTTCACTGGGAATCTCACCATATACCTTCACTTCCTCCAGATCTAATACTCTTAGATATCTCCAAATCCTCAAGTACATGACTGAAATGTTTTCCTGCAGTGTCTTGTAGAATACACAGACTCGCAGAGAGCAAACCCGAAACCAGTATATTTTCGAGTTTAGCAAAAGCTCAAAACCAGAGTTCATGCTCAACCTCCATGGATGGCGTGGCTCCTTAACTAATGACAGCTCATCCTCGTCTCCTTGAAGGAAATGGAAAAAATGCTCAACTTGGACTTTCTGGGAGCAGAATTCATGAAGCAAGTCATGAATGCGGCAGGTGCGAATTCCACCCGTGGATTTTTTCTTGGTAACCATAACTAAGCTTCTGCCAATCAAATCATTTAGATACTCTTCAGCAACATCTAACAGGCGCTTCATCTCCACTTTTCGAATGAATCCTTCCGCCATCCATAAATAGAGCAACCTCTTCACCGAGACTTGTTGATCTTCTCGAAATGTTGCAAGATAGAGAAGGCATGGTTTTAAATGCTCCGGTAGATGCCTATAACTCAGCTCCAGAGTGTCCTTGAAGCTCTCTGACACATTGCTTGAGCTTAAACTTTCCAGGACTTTATTCCATTCCTCTGGCTCTGAGGATTTTAGAAGTCCAGCTACAACAACAATTTTAAGAGGTAATCCTTTGCAGACTTGAAGAATTTGCCTCCTAAGATCGCCTAGTGCAGGGGACTCTGCACTTCCAGCTGATGATTTCATCTGAAATAACTCCAAGCTCTCCTCTTCATTAAGTGGTCTGAGTTCATGAGGTTTCTCGTCGAGCATATCTGAAGGAGCCACCTCATAACTACGACTTGTGAGCAAAATCCTACTTCCCATAGAATCATCAGGAAATGCTTGTTGCAAGCTATGCCAGGCTTTTGCTTCCCATATATCGTCCAGAACAATCAAATATCTCTTTTGCTTCAAACTGCGCCTTAGCTGGTTTGCTACATCATCTGCAGTTGTTTCAGAAGTGATGATCAGTGAACATTTGTCAGGAGCAACCTGTTTTAAGAGTTCAAGCAACACTCTCTTGCTGTCAATTGTTTGAGAAACAGTAGTGAGTGCACAAGCTGAAAAATGGTACGTGATACATGGATCGTTGTAAACTTTTTCAGCCAATGTGGTCTTCCCTATTCCAGGCCTACCCACAATGGACACTACCTGCAATTTCTTCGCCCCTCTCGTGAGCCGATCAATAATTGAGATTGCCTCCTGATGGAAGCCTACAACCATATTTGCATTAATTGAGGGAGTTATTGATGGAACGTTGCGATTAGTCATGGTTACTTCCTTCACTTTGATTCCTTCTCTTTTGAGTTTTATTCCTGGTGCCTTGACTTGGACTTCTGTCCAAATGTTGCCAATGTCTTTCATGATAGAATGAGATAATGTTGAAGCATATTGTGGAATATTGCCAACCATGAGGTAGTTGATGATGTCCTCTACCTTGAATGCCACCTCCAAAACACGACCCCAGAGAGCTTCGATTTCCTCCTGGTCATTATTTTGCAACTCCACAGTATCCCCCAAGAAACTTCTTAAGTGGATGAGTTCGTTTCGGATAGTTTGAGTATGAGTCTTAGCATCTAAGTCAGCCTCGTTAGTTGTCAGCTCCATCAATCTTTCCAATAAGAAGTCCAAAAAAGCCAATTGAGTACTACTTTTTGGTACTTTGGGATCCTTGTCCCCAAATTTTGCTCGAATAACCTGGATTGCTTCTACCAAATGCTGAAGAAGCTCAAGGTCTAATTGTACCTGTGTCTGGTAGAATGGGAAAATTAAGACTCCAGCATCGCACATCAAATCTCTAATGTCTTCCTTCATTTTCACATCAAATACGTTTGGTTGCTTCTGCCCAAAAAGCTTGATCCTCAAGAACCTGAGTCCTTCATACAACTCTTGCAATTGACCCTTCACAGGAATGGGAACTGTGACGGGGTGACCTGATGAAAGCAGCTCCCAAAGAACACCTAAGAAAGAAGAAATGAATTCCTTTGGCGCGATACGAACATCGATGATACTCTCCGCCGCACAGAGTAACCGTGTTACCAGCTTTGAGCTATCAAGTGCTTTAGTGTAAATCATACAGACACGAGGATCAATTGGTTGTATCTTCTGGATCAATGTTGAAATCTCAGACAGCATTTCTTCTTGAACTCTTAGCGGAATATAAAGAAATTCAGAAAATTCATTATATACATAAGGTCTATCCTTAAGAAAGAGGAATGCAGCATCGATGGTAACCTCTCCAGCATGAGCTAACAACAGATTTTCTTTGGATTCAACAACATCCCGTGTGGCAAAAAGGATGAAACTTTTCAAGAAAAGTATCTGCTCTTCCAAGGCATTCATTGCCCTCTTTAGAAATGCATAATCACGGAAGCTGGACTGATAGTCCACAAGAATTTGTTGAAAGTAGCTAATGATTTCAAAAATTTTATCTGTTTTGAAAGAACTTGACTGTCGTAACATGATAACGTACCATTTGTTCGCTTGTTCACTGAAATAATGGATGACTTCTACATGACCTGCAAATCTAGCTCGACCACCGGAAACCAGATTATATAAAGTGTCAACGAACTTTGCGATTCTGCAAACAGTATCTTCCATATCGTCTTCCAACTGTCCAGTAGAAAGAGCAAACATCTTGAGATTCTTTAACATGAACCTTAAGTGGTTCAACATACATTCAAGGTAGTGCTTATTGACATTACTAGAACGTACAGTCTTTTGGACCAGCAATTGTAAATTGTGTAAGACAGAATCAATATAAGCAGTGATGTTGGAGGCCATTTTCGTTGTGGGATCTGAATTACAGCAAAGTAATCAAAAGAACAAAAGCTAATTGACCAGAAAGCAATTGAGGCAGGTGGAGAAGATGGGAGGAATAAGTTTAAGGGGAGAAGGTGAAGGAAAGGAAAAAGTGGAAAACTGATGAAATGAACCAAAACAAAACTACGCCAGTACACCCTACCGTGTATCATTCACGATTTCACGCTTCGCATCGTTTTCCGACATTGACATTGTGCTAGGTAAAGTTAGCTATTATATTCAAAAGTCAGCAACTATTTTTTACTCTCGTGCCTTCTATCCATAAAAATAGTTCATATTATAAATATCAAATTAGATTATAAACAACATAATTACAATTTAAAATGTGAATTATTTTATGAGATACTAAGATTAAAATTTCACTTTCATAATGAGGGGAATCATAACAACTTCTGGTTTTTTACTTTCATAATTACATAATAATTGTATGCCTCTATGCATAATAATTATTATATACTTCCTCCGGTCTTTATTATAAACCATTTTGATTTCGTCCTAGGTTTAGTCTTAGATGTCTTTTTAATTGGAAAAAAACCTTTAAAATATATTTTCACATACGTTGTGTTTTCCATATTATTATGAAATGTTTTTAAGGTTTTTATTACAATTAAAAATATATTCTAGGTGAAACCTAGGACAAAATCAAAATGCCTTATAATAAGAATTGGAAAGAGTACGTAATAATGATGTAATTATGTGCCTCTATATATACACATTCATAATTTTTGCCCAGCTCTCATGGCACCCAAAAAGTCAACTTTGATGATTTTTTACCTTTGTTCATTTGCTGGAAAAGTCATCATCGATGACTCCTTCTTCGGTGTTCAAATAAAATTTGGTGTTTTTTTTTCAATTTTAATGACATTGCTAATTATTAAATCAAATGGCATCTTAGATCATAGTTAAATATATGTTCTCTGTATTAAAATTTAGAGGTAATGCACACCCAACAGAAATTGTGATTATACTTGATATGTTGTTGTTTTCATAATTAAAGTAGTTATTTATTTAATGCGTTATCAAAATTTGAATGGTTTATGGTAGATCGGGCCAATACTCGGGATAACATGTAGTTTGCCCATCATAGTAAAATGAAAAATTTTATGGTCCATTCACCGGAATTATTAGTCAATGATAAAATGGTCAAGATCATTAAATCATACCTATGTATATATCTATAAGATAATATAAGACGACAAGCCTTTTAAAATTTACTAACTATTAAGCTAATTTTAATTAGTTTGAGGTGTTTTTTCGTCTAAAGATTTAAATTAACAACTAAGCACTCGCCTTTAAATAAAATCGACAACTAAAACAAATTTTTAGACTAAATCGACGATCAAAGCAAACATTTAAACTAAAATGACACTTTTCCCGTATTTTATTTTCCGTCTATTTTATTTTCTTGATTCTTTGCTTACATCCCAATAATTTTCTGTTATGCACAAGTTTACCGTATTTCCCTATGTTTGTGAAAGATGAGAGCGGCTTTAGTATAAATGGTGTTTTGGTTAGTTTTGAATTTGCCTAAATTCGGCTTTTTTTTCTCAAATTTTGGTTCTCTTTAAAATTTTCAACCAGAATATTTTAATAACATATGTGATACCATTTTAATATTGGCATGCCTATTAAAATTTTATTGGGCCTTGACCCCGCATGCATGCTAGTACTAAATTGCCGATCACCACTCCTACTACTAATATCAGCAACACCGCGTCAAAAGTAATTTATTTTTATTATTATTTTTTTTTACATCGTCAAAAGTAATTTATTATCTTGGCAATATGAAATAAGCTATTCATTGAACTTGGGGATTGTTTGAGAAAAGTTAGTGCTTAATTATGAATGTTTAATAATGAATTTATTAAAGAGTTACGAAATAAGTAATAAACTAAATTTTATTGCTTATATGTAGTATTACAATTTCAGCACTACTTAATTTATTAAAAAATTTATTATTTATTATCAAACATGTTGATGAAAAAAATGATTAATTTAATAATTTTAATCATTAAATGACTTTATTAAACGGCCCTTTCAGCTACTACTAATAATGTGCCTCTCTCTCTATTAATGACCCATGTTTGTGCCCATTAGACGCGCATTCTGCTGTAAAATATACTAATTGGTGGTACAAGAATATTTACAAAATAGGAAATTTTGGACGAAGGGTAGTGGACTAGTTTTAATTAATAAAAAAGGCATAAGTTTTGCATAATATGGATAAGGTTAATAAATTATTTTCTTAAAATCATAAAATTAAAGAAAATGATACTCTTAGTGAAATAATATAGTGAGAAAATATAGTAATTGATGTGTATCCTCTATTTTGTTGCCACTTTACCGTTGAAATTTTTTCTTTTCTCCAAAATTACTCTTTTACCCTTAATTACTAATGCCACATCAGTCATTATGTATTTTCACTATTTCTTCATACTATCTGTATTATTGCTCAAAAATTAAATTATTTATGTTGTGGCATAATTGTCTTTGTACTCTTAAGTTGATCAACTTATATTAGGGGGAAAAGAAAAATTAGAGAAATCCCGACCGCTCATCATCGACACTTTTTTTTAAAAAAAATCAAAAATGAAAAAATCAAAGCACACCAGGCAAAGCTAAGAACTCATGATATTACCAAAAGCACTGGAACACACAATTTCAGGAGTTCAGAAGAAATTCAAGATCCGTTGACAGATCAATTAAGGAGGAAATTTTAACAGAAAATATGCTCCAAGATCATGTAAAAAAAAAATTTCTCAGAATCCGCTGAAGTTTAATTGATACATATGTAAGACTAATCAAGCACATATGTTTCCTCAAACTTTACCGAATTTCGTGGCAGCCTGCAATAATTTCACTAATATCCTGCCGTAGGACACCTTGTGAGGCACTTTTTCGAAGGAATAGTAGCTAATTGATTCATCAAATTGACAAAGTGAACTCTTTTTTACTCTTGGGGTAATCAATCCAATTCGATTCATAAAACACTCAATTTAGTTTGTCTTCCTCTAATTTATAACATAGTGAATGTGGTTATTGATTATCATTTCTTTGATGATTTAATACTAATTTATGTAGGTAATTACTTGAGAATTGACCCAGATTATGGAATATTAGTGCTTGATGAACTATCCTTGTTATCTTAGCCATGCATCTCACACATTCATTCTTGTTTGCAAATGCGCATGTGATTTTGTGTTAATTTATTTAGGGTTTTTTAGTTTTCAGATTTTTCAGCAGATAATTAGGTGAAGAAGAGTCCTTTTTTTGTTTCGTTTGTAACTTAAAAGAATTTGGGCAGTTAAGTCCAAACATAAATAATTTGATATGTAATTTTGAGAAAGTAATTTACTATTCTTAACCCATATTATGTAAAACTTGCACCGTTTTTATTAATTAGAATTTCTCCACTACCCTTGATCCAAATTTACCGTACAAAATACTAATAACAAGTTGAAAAGGTGCACCGGTATTCAAAGTAATAATGGGGTTTTCTTTTTTCTTTCTTTTTGAAAATGGGGCTTTGGAGTTTACTTTTTATGTTTTAGCCCAAGGATGAAGATGATTGTTTTTGTTTTTTTTTCTCTTAGATGTTCCATGGGACAGAAGATGATTGTTAGGATTTTAGGAATAAAGAGATTACTGTACTGTTTTCTTTTCTTGAGATTTCCAGGTAGCCTTTTCTACTCCATATGGCATTTCCGGCCTTACTAATGGCACTATTTTTGTAGCTTGGACTAGAAAAAAGACTGGATTGGCACAATATTCCATGTTACTCAATCACAGAGAGGCGACATGGAACGTGCCCTTTATAAACAATTTACTCTCCTCCCTCCGTCCCATTATGTTTGTACAACAAACTGGACTATTATAATGCAAAGGATAGAGTATTAGGTTTTCCATTCTTCAGACCATCAAAAGGATTCTCAAACTACAGTTCCTCAGAAAGACTGGTAGAGAAAAGTATCAAAACTGAATTCGCATAAGACCAGATCAATGGCCTCCCAACAACAACTGAATCGTGGAGCACTTTGACTAACATATAGTTTTAACTTTACAAATGTATACCAAGCAGTGAAGGTGCCGTGCTGCATGTATCCAAACATTTAATATGTATGAAAGCGGATATGTTGATTCTTGTCATTACAAGTACTTCAAAGTTACAAAGCGCCAACGTCATCATTTCAATTATTGAGATTAAATACATAACATGTAACGCTCAACTTAAAGGGAAAAAAAAACATACACACACACACACACACACAAGATGATTTATACAGAAAGAGCAGCAAGAGTGAAGTGGCAATCAGCTTTGTGACTTCCTGGAATCCAGCTTGAAGGGGTTAAAAAAAAGTTACCTGCGCCATGATTGAATTACGACCTTCAGGTTTGGGTTTCCAAAGTCCACCAGTACTTCCTCAATTTGTTTCATGAAGCTTTCAACATTGCGATGACAATGAATGACCTCGATCATTTGAAGCATCGGAAGGGTTTCTAGACAAGACGGCATCTCAATCAAACGTGTGCAAGACCTCAACTCCAACTCCTCAAGACACCCCAATTGATGATCCTCGCAAGCATCCCACGAGCGCAGCCACTTGGACTTCAATTTCAATATACGAAGTTTTGAGAACTCCTCTTCTTCCATTGTCCATGTGTCCCCTTCAAAATCCGTACCATCCAATTTCAGGACTCCAAGATTTGGCAATTTGCCAATGCCTGAAAGACACTTCTTCGACAAAGGAATGCCTGACAACGACAATTTCTCCAGATTTGCCGGAAAACTCAACTCAAACATAATGCGTTCGGGTAGTTTATTGTAATCTACAGACATATCAAGTGATTTCAGCTGACGCAAAGAGACAGGAGCTGCAATCTGGACAAGCCTTTCTGCATGATTATCAAATGATTGAATTTTGCATTTCAACTTGCGGATGTTTGGAAACACATTCATTACCTCTTTCATTCTCCAGTCATCATGAGGCAAAATAACTCCAGAAATTCTATCCAGCTCACATGAAAAGCAGGAATTGTCAAGATTCTCAATGGGTAAAATACCCAGAGCTCGGCCCTTCATGTAGAGATGCTTTAATTTCTGTAGATTCCAGAATGTGTCGGGCAATGAAAACCTCTCAGCCGAAAGATCACTTATAATAAGTGTCTCTAAATTAGAGAGATCGCCAAGTGAAGTCGGGATGCTGAAACTGTGGCCACGAACTGCGAAGAAAGCCAACAAAACAAGTAGTCCTATTTCACTTGGAAGCTCAACAGATAACTCAGTTTCCTCCAAATTTAATACTCTTAGAAATTTCCAAATGCGAAACATGACTGAGATTTTCGTCTTCATTGGCTTGTTGTTTAAACTGACTCGCAGTGTTCGAACACGATACCAGTAAACTTTGGAGTCCAGTACATGCTCTGATGCAGAGTTAATGCATAACCTCCACAGGTAGCGCGGCTCCTTGAGTGTTGACAGCTCCTCACGTTCTCCTTCAAGGAAATGGAAAAACTGCTCATCTTGGACTTTCTGGGAACAGAATTCATGAAGCAAGTCATGAATGCGGCATGTGCTCATTCCACCAGTGGATTTTTTTTTAGTAACCATAACTAAGCTTCTGCCAATCAAATCATTTAGATACTCTTCAGCAACATCCAACAGGCGCTTCATCTCCACTTTTCGAATGAATCCTTCGGCCATCCATATATAGAGCAACGTCTTGACTGAGACCTGTTGATCTTCTCGAAATGTTGCAAGATAGAGAAGGCATGGTTTTAAATGCCCTGGAAGATGCCTATAACTCAGCTCCAGTGTGTCCTTGCAGCTTTCTGATATATTATTGCCTGAGCTTAAACTTTCCAGAACTTTATTCCATTCCCTTGGCGCTGTGGATTTTAGAAGTCCAGCAACAATGACAATTTTCAGAGGTAATCCATTGCAAATTTGAACAATTTTCCTCCCAAGATTGCCTAATGCAGGGGACTCAGCACTTCCACTTGATAATTTCATCCGAAATAACTCCAAGCTCTCCTCTTCATTAAGTGGTCTGAGCTCATGAGGCTTCTCATCGAGCATATTTAAAGGAGCCACCTCATAACTACGACTTGTGAGCAAAATCCTACTTCCCATAGAATCATCAGGAAACGCTTGTTGCAAGCAATGCCAGGCTTTAGCTTCCCAAATATCGTCTAGAATGATGAAGTATCTCTTTCGCTTCAAACTGCGCCATGGCTGGTTGGCTGCATCATCTGCGGTCATCTTCGAAGTAATAGTAGAATCTATGCCAGGAGCAACCTGTTTTAACAGTTCAAGCAACACTCTCTTTCTGTCAATTGTTTGAGAAACAGTTGTGAGTGCACAGGCTGAAAAATGGTACGATATACAAGGATCATTGTAAACTTTTTCAGCCAATGTGGTCTTGCCTATTCCCGGTCTACCCACAATGGACACCACCTGCAATTTCTTCGCCCCTCTGGTGAGCCGATGAATAACTGACTTTGCCTCCTGATGGAAGCCTACAACCTGATGATTTGCAAGTGAGGGAGGAGTTGTTGTTGATCGCACTCGACTGTTAGTCATCGCGGTGACTTCCTGCCCTTTGATCTCTTCTATCTTGAGTTTCATTTCTTGTGCCGTCACTTCAATTTCAGGCAGAATATTGCGGATATCTATCAAGATGGAATGAAATAATGTTGAAACGTAACGTGGATGATCACCGACAATGTGGAAGTTGATGGCGTCCTCTACCTTGAATGCCACCTCCAAAACACGACCCCAGAGAGCTTGGATTTCCTCCTGGTCATTATTTTGCAACTCCACAGTATCCGCCAATAAACTTCTTAAGTGGATGAGTTCGTTTCGGATAGTGTGAGCATGACTCTTAGCTTGTAAGCTAGCCTCCCTAATTGTCAGCTCCATCAATTTTTCCAATAAGAAGTCCAAAAAAGCCACTTGAGTACTACTTTTTGGTACTCTTGGTTTTGAACCCTCTTCCCCAAATTTTGCTAGAATAACCTTGATTGCTCTCAACAAACTCTGAAGAAACTCAAGGTCCAATTGCACATTTGTTTGGTATATAGCGAAAATGAAGACTCCAGCATCACACATTACATCTCTGATGTCTTCCTTCATTTTTGCATCAAATATGTCCTGTTGCTTCTGCCCAAAAAGCCTTATCCTCAAGAGCCTGAGTCCTTCATACAACTCTTGCAAACGATCCTTCACAGGAATGAGAATTGCGATATGGGGACCCAATGCTAGCAGATCCCAAAGAAGACATGATAAAGAAGAAAAGAATTTCTTCGATGCACTGAGAATATTTATGCTCTTTTCCGCGCAGAGTAACCGTGATGCCAACTTTGATCTATTGAGTACTTTAGTGTAAATCTTGCAGACACAAGGATCAACTGGCTTGATCTTTCGTATCAATGTTGAAATCTTGATCATCATTTCTTCTTTCACATTTTCTGGAATGTTTCGACAGCTTGAATAAAGTTCTCCATCATACTTGTAAGCTCCATCCTTAAGCAGGAGGTATGCAGCATCAATAGTAATCGATCCAGCATGAGCTAACAACACATTTCCCTTGGATTCTACAACATCCCGTGTGGCAAAAAGGATGAAACTTTTCAAGAAATCCATCTGCTCTCCCAATGCATTCATTGCCTCCTGTAGACTGTGGTAAGAGTAAGACTGATATTCCTCAAGTATCTGCTGGAAGCAGCAAATAATTTCCAAAATTTCATCTGCTGTGAAAGAACTTGATTTTCGTGTGGCATCGAACAAAGTAATGTACCATCCATTTGCTTGATCAATGAAATAATTGACTATTTCTTTCACAGGACCTTCAAATTTTTTAGCTTTATCATGCGATTTAATATGAAAAGTGTCAGTGAACTTTGCGATTCTGTGAACAATATTGTCAATGCCGTTCAGCTTTCTAGCACAAAGAACAAATATTTTGAGATTCCTTAACATAAATCTCATGTGCCATAACATAGAAAGCTTCCCGTACCTGTGGAACATCAATTCTACATTGTGTAAGGCAAAATCAATACGAGTAACGAGGTAACCTGTTTTGGAATCTGAACGGAACCAAAGCAACCGAGAGAACATAGTACTATGTGAACTGAAAGCAATAGAGGGAAGGGAAGGATGGTAGGAATAAGAGAAGAGGAAATGAGATGATGAACCAAGGAAAATTACACTTGTTTGTTCCGTCTTCCTCCCTTCTCATCGCTTTCTGATGCTGGTGTTGCGTGCAATCAATGTAATTCTATTTTGTTGAATTGAAACAGTAAATACAACAAAATGAACGATTAAGACAAGGACGTGACAATAACTTCGTTTGATTGTTTGTGCCGTTCATCAGATGCGCATTGTCCAGCCAAATGCTACAGCTAATTTGTAGTAGTACAAGACTACAAAGTAACAAGGCCGGCAGGACTGCATTTAAATTTTAAACTTAACAACAGATAAATGTCCTAATCTTACTTTAAAAATTCCAAAACAGACGAGAGAAAAATCTGAAAATGAAACAAATTTTGACTATAAAAAATATGGCCGCCATTTCTACTCACTGTTTAATGACATTCTCTTCTAGATCAAGCACCATTCAAGTAGAGAGAGACTTGCAACACTTCAAGTGATTTTAACCTTTTTCTCCTTCGCATCTGAGCACATCTTGTTTCCAAACATTTCGCATGTATAAATTGATTCTAAAATTAACTTTATGAAAGCAGATATGATAATTCTTTTCAGTACAAAGCACTTCAAAGTTAAAAAGAAGGCCAACATAATCATTTCAATTAAATGACATCAAATGCGTAACATGTTGGAAATCAACCTGAAAAAAGAAAGAAAGCACACAATGATTTCCACAGAAAGAGGAGCCTGAGTGAACTGCAGTGAGGATTATGACTTCCTCTGCATCCAGCTTGAAGGGCTGCAGAAAATTTACCTGCGTCTCGATTGAATAATGACCTTCAAATCTGAGTTTCCAAACTCCACCTGTAATTCCTTAATGGTTGTCACTAATGTTTCAACGACGACAGGACAATGAATGACCTTGATCATTTGAAGCGTCTCAAGGGTGCCTAGACAAGAAGGCATCTCTTTCAAGAAAAGGCAATCACACAGTTCCAAATCCTCAAGGCACATCACTTGATCATCAGAAGCATTCCACGAGCGAAGCCACCTGGAATTCAGTTTCAATATCTAAGTTTGGAGAATTCTTCTTCTTCCATTGCCAATGTGTCCCCTTCGAAATCTATACCCTCTAATTTGAGGATTTCAAGATGTGGCAATTTGCCAATGCTTGAAGACACTTCTTCGACAAAGAAATCCCTGACAATGACAATTTCTCCAGATTTTCTGGAAAACCCAACTCAAACATAATGCCTTCGGGTAGTATATATTTATCTACCGATATATTAAGTGATTTCAGCTGACACAAAGAGACAGGAGCTGCAATCTGGACAAGCTTTCCTGCATGATTATCATCGAATCCTTGAATTCTGCTTTTCAACTTGCGGATATTTGGAAACATATTCATCACCTCTTCCATTCTCCAGTCAGGAGGCAAAATGACACCAGAAACTCTAACCAACTCATATAAGTAACAGGAATTGTCAAGGTTTTCAATGGGCAAATACCCCAAGCCCGGCCCTTCAGGTAAAGATGTTTCAATTTCTGTAGATTCAAGAATGTGATTGGCAAATAAAATTCCTCCGCGGAATATTCACTGATAATAAGTGTCTCCAGATTAGAGAGGTCACCCACTGACGTGGGAATGCTTAAACTGTAGCCTCGAAATGCGAACAAGGCCAACAACAATACATTGCTTATAACTTAGCTCCAGGATGTCCTTGCAGCTTTCTAATACATTGCTTGAAGTTAAACTTTCCAGAACTTTATTCCATTCCTTTGGCTCCGTGGATTTTAGTAGTCCAGATACAACAACAATTATAAGAGGTAATCCATTGCAAATTTGAAAAACTTGCCTCCAAAGATTTCTGTCTAATGCAGGGGACTCGGCACTTGCAGTGGATGATTTCATCCGAAATAACTCCAAGCTCTCCTCTTCATTAAGTGATCTGAGCTTATGAGGTTTCTCATCAAGCTCAGCCACCTCGTGATTGCGAGTTGTCAACAAAATCCTACTTTGGTTAGAATCATCGGGAAATGCTAGTTGCAAGCTATGCCACGCTTTAGCTTCCAAATATCATCTAAAACGATCAAGTATCTCTTTCCCTTCAAACTGCGCCTCAGCTCTTTTGCTACATCATCCGCAGTTGTATTAGAGGCAAAAATTGAACATTTTTCAGGAGCAACCTGTTTTAAGAGTTCAAGCAACACTCTCTTGCTGTCAATTGTTTGAGAAACAGTAGTGAGTTGCACAAGCTAAAAAATGGCGCAAGATACGTGGATCGTTGTGAACTTTTTCAGCCAATGTGGTCTTCCCTGTTCCAGGCCTACCCACAATGGACACTACCTGCAATTTCGTCGCCCCTCTCGTGAGCCGATCAGTAATTGAGTTTGCCTCATGATGGAGCCTACAACCTGATTTCTAACAGAGGGAGAGGGAGTCGCTGATGGAACGTGACGATTAGTCATGGCTACTTCCTTCACTTTAATCCCTTCTCTTTTGAGTTTGATTCCTGGTGCCTTGACTTGGACTTCTGTCCAAATATTGCTGATGTCTTTCGTGATAGAATGAGATAATGTTGAAGCATAATATGGAAGGTCGCCAACCATGAGGTAGTTGATGATGTTCTCTACCTTGAATGCCACCTCCAAAACACGATGCCAGAGAGCTTGGATTTCCTCCTGATCATTACTTTGCAACTCCACAGTTTCCCCCAAGAAAGACTTTAAGCGGATGAGTTCGTTTTGGATACTTTGAGCATGACTCTTAGCATTCAAGTCAGCGTCGCTGATTGTCAGCTCCATCAATTTTTCCATCAAGAAGTCCAGAAAAGCCAATTGGCTACTACTTTTAGGTACTCTCGGATCTTTTTCCCCAAGTTTTGCTAGAATAACCTGGATTGCTTCTCAAGGTCTAATAGTACATGTGGTTGGTACAATGGCAAAATGAAGACTCCAGCATCGCACATCAAATTTCTAATGTCTTCCTTCATTTTCACATCAAATATGTGTGGTTGCTTCAGTCCAAAAAGCTTGATCCTCAAGAACTTGAGCCCTTCTATAACTCTTGCAATTGATCCTTCACATGAATGGTAACCGTAATGGAGTGACCTGATGAAAGCAGCTCCCAAAGAACACCTAAAAAAGAACAAAATAATTCCTTTGGCATAACAACATCGATGATACTCTCTGCCGAACAGAGTAACCGAGTTACCAGCTTTGAGCTATCAAGTGCTTTGGTGTAAATCAAACAGACACGAGGATCAATTGGTTTTATCTTCTGGATCAACATTGACATCTCAGACAGCATTTCTTTTCCAGCTCTGTCTGGAATATAGAGTGGTTTAGAAAATTGAGCATACGTCTCTCCTTAAGAAAGAGGAATGCAGCATCGATAGTAACCGCTCCAGCATGAGCTAACAACAAATTTTCTTTGGATTCCACAACACCCCTTCTGGCAAAAAGGATGAAATTTTTCAAGAAATCCATCTGCTCTCCCAATGCATTCATTGTCCCAAGTAACCATTGTAGAGAAGTATAACTGAAGATGGACTGATAGTCCACAAGAATTTGTTGAAAGTAGCTAAAGATCTCCAAAATTCTAATCTGTTCTGAAAGAACTTGATTGTCTTACAGCATCTAACATGTTTGTCTGCTTGTTCACTGAAATAATGGATGAGTTCCACAAGACCTGCAAATCTAGCTACACCACCGGGAACCAGATCTAAAGAGTCAGCGAACTTTGCGATTCTGCAAACAGTATTTTCCACATCGTTTTCCAACTGTCCAGTAGAAACAGCAAACATTTTGAGATTGTTTAACATAAATCCTAAGTGGTTAAACATATATCAAGGTCGTCGTCCTTATTGCGATAACCAGAACGTAAAGTCTTTTGGACCAGCAATTGTAAATTGTGCAAGGCAGAATCGATATAAGCAGTGATCGATGTTGGAGGCCATTTTCGTTGTGGGATGTCAATTACAGCAAAGTAATTCAAAAGAACCAAAAAAACTAATTGAACTGAAAGCAATAGAGGTAGAGAAGGTGGGAGGGATAAGTTTTTAGGGAAGAAGGTGAAGGAAAGGAACTGGAAAACTGATGAAATGTGTTACCCGGACTCTTGTATTTGGGAAGAATACCTGTGTCGTGTGGTGTCAACACCGGTATGGGTATGAGTGTCGGGTGTGTCATTTTTAGCCCAAAATGTCAAAAATTTCTAAGATATTGACGAGTCGGACACTCAGATCCCCGCACCCGAGAGAAAAAATCTGAAAAAAAATGAAACAAATTTGAGGCTGAAAATATCTTCGCCAAATAGACTCGACTCTTGAACGACATTTTCATGTAGAGAGACACTAGGTAATTAGTATAATTAGTAAAACTCTAAAGTCTAAACTGGAAACCTTTTTATATGGAGTTCTAATATTCCACTCAGAAGGGTGGGAAAAAACATTTAAAAAATTTACTAGAAAGGAATTAAAGGTGGCAACGATCGATGAAGTCAACCCAAAACAGAAGCAGTAAACTAAATTACTCTCTTTTGTTGAATTGATTCTTTTGTGTTGTGATTCTGGGATTCCCAGATTTGGGAGCTGCAAGAATATTTTGATTCGAGAAGATGAAGATGGTGGAAGGAGAAGTGCACCCTTATTCTCCAACCGACATGAAATTGCCTGGTTTTGTGCCCCAATTAATACCCACATCCACCATTCTTGGTGTTTACCTCGGCGCTTCAGCTCTCGTTGTCCTCATTACCTGGATCGGCTCCGGTAATTTGTTACCATTTCTTGATCTCCTTTCAAAATAACCTAGCTAGTCATTTGGTCTTATTCTGTTACATTGATGAGTGTAATTGTGCTAGTATGAGTTGACTTTGTCCTCCTAGGGATCAATCTTCCTTTCTCTTTGCAAAGATGTAGTTCTGCAAGTGTTTTATAGCAGGTCATTTTTGAATTGTGATTGTTTCCTTATGAGTTCATGGCATGCATTTTCCAATTTGATCTGAATGTTCAAGGGAGTAGTCTTTATGCATTGATCTTTTTATGGTAATAAGTATGTCTGCTCCGAGCCATGTTAATGTAATCTTGACGATGAGGTTTTATGGAGCATCAGTTATGACTGATGAGCAAGAAACAGTAACACATTATTAAGTGTTCTCTGGTAAAATTGGTACATATATAGATATGACAGGCGAATTTTTGGGTTGTGATGAGCAACCAAAAACTTGAACATTTCCTAATCTGGACTTGATTGTCATGCTGTTATTTCTTGTATTCCCTGGCTTCACTTGGGTTAATACGGCAGAAACCCCTGCTTGGAATCAGTGGTATAAACATTTTGTTTGTCGATCTGTCTCATTAGTGTTGTCTTGCTGCTAACTTTGGACATCCTCAAATGACCTGGTTTGATTTGAAAGCAGTCAGACTACGTGTCCTTTGAGCCTTTAAAGCCAGCTTTGAAATTCTTTTGTGCCAGCAGAATTTTTAGCAATTTCTGCCGTGATCAAGTAATGCGGCGTGCACTGAAATTGGCATAGTTACATATAGCAGATCATTCATCTGGAAAATGCTGGGCTAGTATTGACTTTGGTTTGCTGTCTACTGCATCTGGATACATCGATGACAGTTCTTGATCGCATTCTTTGATTGCAATGTCAGGCCGTATTCACAGATTATCGAAGTCTGATAGGACACTTATGTGCTGGTGGATCTTCACGGGTCTCACGCACTTGGTGCTTGAGAGTTACTTCTTATTTACTCCTGATTTTTACCAGAAAACCTCCCCTATCTACCTTGCAGAAGTTTGTAAGTTGTTCACCTCATTTTTTCCATTGGAAACTGCTTATCCTTGACTCTTGTTGGTACTGAGTTAATCGACTTGAAATGATAAATGGCAGGGAAGGAATATAGCAAAGGCGACTCGCGATATGCTTCACGCAATTCCACAGTTGTTTCAATCGAAATAGTAACTATATTATTAGAGGGCCCCCTTTGTCTTCTCTGTCTGTAAGTTAAGAAACGGGCACTTGCGATATTACTATTTCAAGATCATACTACTATGTTCACTCCACATTTCTCGTCTAGTTGATTTTTTTTTGCATTTATTTAGATTCCACTCCCTTGCCTTAATGATCATAATGTGGCTTTAACTTCGCAGGTATGCGATAGCAGTGAAGAAGTCATACAGGCATGTACTTCAGTTGGCCTTATCAGTAGCACAGCTCTATGGAACCATCGCATATTTTTTAACTGCTTGCCTAGATGGAGATAATTTTGCTACAAATTTGGTTTACTACTATGCATATTATGTTTTTGCAAATTCTTTTTGGATTGTAGTCCCAACAGCAATATCAATCCACTGCTGTAAGAAGATTTGTGCTGCAATCTGGGAGCAGGATCAGAAGAATACCAAATTGCAATGAGGCAGTTTTTTGGCTGATAAACTTTTAAAACCAAGGATATTATAGCCTTTGCAATCTTCATTCTCTTCTCATTTCTTGAATTGTTACAGGTTCTGGACACTCTTTTTTAAAGATGACCTTTTGGTGTTTGATTACTGGTTTTCATGTTGATGCCATCACCAAACAAAATGATAATCATTTTCAAATACAAATGATTGTTGATGCCTTGCTTTAAATACATCATCATATGTAATTTCCAATTACAGAACCTTAATAGAGGGTGGCTAAGAAATGCAAAAGTAAACTGGCTTATAAGCACCGATTGAAGTTGAACCACTACATTGGCAAAACTTTTTTCAGCATCAATTTATAACATGGAGGTAGGTAACCGATTCAAAAAGCAGGACCAATCAAATTGAGACTAGAAATTAGCCCAACCACGGGCAAGACACCATTCTAACTTCTAACAACGACTTCTCTGTTCTTTATACCGTAAGGGCTTTCTTCTTTCTCCGGATCCTCGTACAATTACAATAAATATCAGACCATAAAGTCTAATCTAAAGGAATATACCATACTTCATCCCCTAAGTCAAATATAGGTTTATCGGCCTCAAGCTCTGCATGATAGTTGCAGCTAATCTTTGAATGTTAAATATACTTAGCAGATATTACAAAAATATAGTATCTCTACAAGAACTGTTCACTTCCGCAAGAAAAAACAACCACAACAGATCTGTGCAATATCTTTGAAATTCTTGAACTCTACCTCACCATCCATACTTTCCTTGTGTTTGAGCTTTTGTGAGGAATCCTCTAGCGCGTCTTTCTGCAAGCTCCGTCTCTTTCTGCTTCATATCAAATAAAAGTGATGTAATCTGATGCTTTCGCTTGTGCAACTTTGAAGGCTTCCCCTTGGTTGACGCAGGCTGCAGAAGCAAAGATATAAATTAAACTGAAAACAAACTACAATACAAAAGGTAAAATTTGCGACAGTTCAAGGCATATTTCAAAAAACAACTAGGGGCACAGGGCTATACTATATAACGCCCACATATAATCTCTTTCACAATAACTACTGCAAAGAGCCCATCAAGTGACAACTACTTGAATTAAAGAGAAGCTCCATGACGTCAATTTTCTCTTTTGCATACTTTATAAGCGTGAAATAAAACCCAAACAAAATTAGCCTATATCTTGGGGATGTTAAGCAAGTGACCATACACTGCGACCTTAATCCAATGTAAAAGCACAACGAACATTCATTATACAGACATCTACACAGGCATGGAAATATCAAAGAAGTCAATACATGAAACAGATTCTATACCAGTAAGGAGCTGGGAAATCAACAATGACAAGGTGTTTACAAGTACATTACCTGGTGCGATGGGCCAAAAGCAATTCCAGTTACTTTGACCTGATCCTCCCTAGGCCTGTTTTTCATCAACTCATCCTGCTTGACCTCTATTATCTCCTCGGGGACATAATTCCTACCCCTCTTGCCAGGCACCTTAAATGCACTTCCAGCTATTCCAGACATCTCCGGAACAAAGCTTGTACTCGATTCTTGAACCTGATTACTCTGATACTGCCCATAATCTGCATAATTACCATAATCACTACTGTAATTTACATAACCTCCAGTTTGATAATCCCCTGAACCTTCAACATAGCCGGCATAGCCACCATAAGCAGCATATTTCTCATCAGTTCCTGCACCCCAATTAGCATATTCACCACCGACATCAGCTGCAGGATAATCACCGCTGCCACCAGCTGCCGCATATTCTGAGGATTGCCCAACACCTCCACTTGAGCTGATTGAGCTCTGATCAACACTATGCTGGCCCTTAAGATACCCCTGATTATCAGTACTCGCAACATTAGAATTCTTCAACCCTTGAACATCAGCATCAATAATGGACCTCCTACCAGTTCCTGAGCCCAACGAGGATACACCCAAAGTGGAAGAGTTTCTGGGAGCCGGAATACTTGACAGGAAGGACTTCACGGATGCAGTCTCAACGGTGTTCTGCTTCTTCCTTCGCTTATCCTCCTCGTCCTCGTCGCTCTCTTCGTCATCACCGCCAGCCAATGATGAGAGGTTCACTGGAGGAGGCCTGAATTGCACAACCTTCTTGGGAGGAGCCACCGGAGATGGAACAACGCCACCATCACTATCATGGAATTTCGGCGGCGGAAGAGAAGAGAACAAGGAAGAGGAAGAGGAAGACTTAGGTTGAGGAAGGGAAGAGAACAGAGATGCGGATGGTTTAGGAATCGATGCAGATGGGATGGGAGCTTCGCCATTGTTTAGGGATTGCCGCCCATCTTCGTCGATCGAAGAGGGGTTAGGGAAGTGGGATTTGGGAGGAGGGAGTGAGAATAGGGATGATGAAGATATAGGGGGTGGAAGGGAAGAGAAGAGGGCATTGGTGCCGGATTTGGATTGGGAATTTGGGGCCGGATTTGAGGTCTGAGGTTGTTTTAGCTCGTCTTCTTCGTCGGAAGAAGCGTAGCTCGCTAGCAGAGAATCCATAGCTAAAGAAGAAGAAGAAGAAAATTGTAAGAGAAACAGTGGAAGGAAATTGGGAAATTTGGAAATTAGGGCGTCGAGCTACGGCGGCGGCGGCGCTTGGGAGGAGGAGCTCAGTTCGTCGGAAATACTAAAATTGAAACGCGTAGAATTTGAAGCATTTATATAATTTGGAACTGAAAACCGAATGGAGCCCATTCTAAATGACTTAATCAATAAAGTTTGTATTATTAATTTCGCTCAAAAAAATTCCTCCCAAAAATGTTTTAGGGGTGTCAATTTCTGATACCACAACACGATTTGCAGAGATAACCCGACGTGACACGATATGATTAATATGATTTGAGTTTTTATCACATTTTTCTCCAAAAAAAAAAAAATTATTAATCATATGAAATATATAACACGAAATTGACCCGATAACTTGAATTGATATTACAAACGAGTTAAAAAATTTGCATTTTCAAAAAGAAGAAAGTTAAAAAATTTGAGTTCACAATTATGAAATTGAAATTCCTTTAAATTGAAAAGCAACAGTTTCAATGCGCATTTTTTGCAACTGTTTGTGATTTAGATATTTAGACATTTATTTCTTTGAAAGAATTTGGGTGAATCGGAAAAAAGAAAATCAAATAAACTAAATGTGGACAAAAACAAAATCTATTTTTGTTTAGAAGTAGTTCTCTAGGATATGTGAAATCCTAAAGTTCATATAAAAAAGTCAAATTTTCGAAATCCGAAAGTTCGAATCTAGTCAAGGTAATATTTCAAGGTTTTGAATTTGTCAAATCTGAATTTATCCCATTTTTGGATTTTCGAAATTTGAAATCACCTTCCTTTCGAATTTAGAAAAAAAAAAAAACATAGAATCAACTATGCTAACAGGTACTCCCTCCACGACTCTAGGATTGTTAAACGTTGAAGATGTTGTAAGTTACCCAACCACTCTGGAAGAATCTCCAACCCAAGGAAACAACTTATGAACAAATGTAAATTGTCTCACATCACCATCGTAAAGAGAAGTGACTCGATATATAAGTTTCAAAGGCCATCCCACACATTGCCAATTGATTTTGAGATGAGAGTCCAAAGTACTTATATACTTTGACAGGTTTGTGAATGACATAGTGATAAGTAGTATGAATCTTGCAGATTGATCAATATTCAATATGTACATTCTATCAACGTTCAGTTTTGCCAGATGACTTGTAAAATATATACACATCGTATACACTTGTGTTGAGCTTGAGTAACGAATCAGATGAATGTGGAAATGATTTTTTTTTGGAAAACGGTACATGTATATATTAATTAAAGATACCTAAACTATTACATTGCATTTTATCTTGAAAAAAGTAATAAAGAGGATGGTAATTCGTTGAACATATATATCTTGGAAAAAGTTTAAGCCTTCAATAGTCATGCATCAGCATATCAAGCATCAGCAGCAATTGCAGGACTAGTAATGTACATAGCCTCTTTGCCTGGCAAGAAAAAGGACCAGATGATGTAGAACTCAAATACGTCTAACAGACTTGATGTACAGATGAGCTGACTGCTGGCTGGATTTTAGGTTCAGATATTGTAAACTGCAGTTCCCACTGTAACATGAAAGAACAGAAATATAGAGAATGGCCAACTTTATTCTTTCAACCAAGGAGGATGGTTTGATTTCCTGTATTCATGGAAAATAAACATGTAGGAAGACGGAAGTATTACAGATTTGCAGCAACAAAGTGACTAAGAGAGCAGATCTTTTGACGGTTTGCAAGGTGATGACAATATGTACCTTGGAAGGGCCATTATGCAAGGTAACTTAGTCTTGTCAAAATTGAAGTGTCGTTCGCAATCGATGCTGAGAAGCAAAAGCGCAGTAGAAAAAAAAAAAAAAAAAAGAGAACTCGTGATCGGGGCAAGCACAACCAAAGCTACTTGTTCTGCATCAAGTTAATGCACAAAATATACTTACAGAATTCAACTATATGACAAAACAGGAAAATAAAAACCTTACCTAAAGAGAAGGTCATCCAAGTCGCAGCACATCTGAAACAATGAATCATGGACAACTTTAAATTCAGGACGAGTAGTTTTAATCAAATTGATCGCAGGCCAGCAGCAAAGATAATTTCCATTCATGTTATGTGTATACCTTATTTACTTGAGCAAATGCAGTAAGAGGAAAACAAGAAGGGAAGTTTTCAACATACTTGTGCTTTAAGAGCGCAACAAGTATAACTTTCCATGACCAACTTCAACTTCAAATGCAAGACAATAGAACATATTGAATGCATAGTGTAAAACTTCAACTCTCCAAATACTAGTCGTGTAAGGAAAAAACAGAATCAACAGTTTCAGCCATCTTGCTTCGACATACTAGAGAAAACAGAATGCAGACACTTCTAGTATGTCGAAGCAACAAAAAGGTTCCATCATATGCTGCATTCTATCAGTGAGAAGAGTCTGCATCGAAACTACTAACAGCCAACAGGTGCCATCTTGAAAGAAAGAAAATAAATGAAAAAGGCATCACATAACCGTTATCAGCTTTAGATACCTCAAATCCAAGCTTTTCACAAATGGAAAGAAATCCGGCTGTTAGCCGCAGTTGTATCCTCCATGGCTGGCAAATGCAAAAATCGAACACCAGCTCTCACTGCCACAAAAATTCCCCATGAAAAACTTATATTATGTCTGTCCCCAGGCAATACCAGAGAACAAGATAGAAATTGAGTTTGATTAACAAAGAACAATCAGAGATATAAGTTAATTCGATTTTTACCTATTTACAAATTGGATCGGAAATGGCAAGCAGTTAATCAAGTTGAATGATCTTGGAGAACTCCATGTGACTTCTTTCCCACCGCTGCCACTTCCCAACACGTTCACACTTGAAGACTCTCAAAGTTTGTAACTTGGTGAGGCGATGCATTGTTTTTGCCGAGGGCAACTCCTTGAGATCTTTGCAATCAGAAATTGTAAGATGCTGAAGACGTTCTAAACTACCCAACCACTTTGGAAGAGTCTTCAACCCATGGACACCAGTTATGGATAAATCCGTCAAAGAAGTCACATTTTGAATATGATAAGGGAGTGAGGTCTTCAATCCATATGCATTTAATTCTAGAGACAAAAGAGAAAAACAATAACTCGTAGCATGGGAGATGGTTGGGCAGGGCCAGGTCAAACGATCAACTTCCTGTTCATCCCATCGTGCTCCTAGGGATAATCGCCTCAGGCTTGTAAACCGGAGCAAAACTCTAGGCCATAAACTAGGTTTGCAATCAATGTTCAAGGATTCTAGTGGAACAGAACTTGAAATGAGGCTGCAAAATGGTTCAGTAAACTTGTTACATTGTGAGATCTTTAGTTTACGTAGACGTGGAAAGTAAATGTGACTCTCATCATCTCCATCTTCGGGTGTATTCCCTTGCCTCTGATCATCATTTTCCCATTTTTGTGGGTGACCAGGCCCCCTGTTTAAATCATCATGAAAAATTCTCAATTTTTGGCATCGTTGTAAATGCAACTTCTGAAGACGTGGTAAACTACCCAAGTTCGGAAAACCCCTCAATTCGGGTAAATTCCATAGATCCATTTTTTCTAGGAGAGGAAATGCTCTAACTTGAACTGATGCTGAGGAAAACGATGATGAGTGTGTTGTTGGTATCAGTTCAAATACATCTGACCACTCCTCCAGATCCCACATCTGCTGTAAAACAAGTGTCCTTAGAGCCGGAAACAGAGTGATTGCCATGTCATTACGACTGTTGCTTTTCACTGCCATATCAAAGTTGGACAAACCATAGAATTCTTTTCCAATGCTTCTCACTCTGTCCATGTTACTGATGCGTAGATATTCAAGAAACGGCAACTGTCCAAGTGATGGGAGTCGTTCACATGAATGCAGACCCTGTAATACCAGTCGCCCCAAATTGCATAGTACTGAATCATTGTTACTTACCGTCATCCATGATGGAAAGTTTGAGCTCTGATAACCTTCTATATTCAAAATCTTCAAATTTGAATGAGGTTTCAAACCCTCAAGCACATCACAGTCATCACGCCCTGGTCCTCGATTCCACTTAAGCTCTAAACACTGAATGTTCGACTTGTTTGACAATTTCGACTTAGCAGCAGATTCATGACTTCTCAGACATTGAAGGTTTAGTATCCGGACATCTCTAAGGTTGTCCAAGTATTCTAACTCTTTTATCTGACACCCATCAGCTTTACCAACCACAAAGTAAGACAAAAACTGGAGATTTTCCAATTGGCCTAACCCTGCAAGAGGGTGTTTAGGCGGGCATTACATGTGAAAATGCCTCAAATTATTCAACTTCCCAAATCCCTCTGGTAGTTCATTCAAACACTTCACTATGAGGGTTTGCAAAAGGTACAACTTTGTGATGGATTGTGGGAGTTTTCTTATCTTCCCCTTACTGATATCTAGAAATCTCAAATGTTTTATCTTGCCAACTGAATTTGGTAATGTAGTATGGCCCTTCAATATCAAAACTGAGAGATTTGTCAAGTTTTCAAAAGCATCTTCTGGCAGGGGAAACAAATAACCTTCAAGGTTAAGCGTTCTCAGACTTGAAGGGAAAATGCCTTTCAAAATGTTCCAAATTCTCATTTCACTTGAACTGATTGATATATGCACAGCTTCAAGGCGATTGATTTTGATCATTGAATCATCCACATGAAAGTAGTCATTGCCCAACACTTTCAACAAATCATCATGGACAAGGTTGTGTATCTTGTAAGCCTTGATGTTATTGTAACGATCCTTTTTAGCAATTTGGAATAAAGAATTTCGCAGGAGTACATCACAATATAAGCTACCCACGTCTTCCATTTCCATTAGGCTTCCCTTTGGAGGATTTAGCAGGCCATGCGCCATCCACTGTTGAATAAGTTGAATCCTATCCAAGAAAGTGTCTTTTGGAAATATGGCACAATATGCAAGACATCGTTTGACTGATGGTGAAGGTAAATGATCGTAAGTTAACTTGATAACCGCAAGAACTCTATCTCCACCACTCTGTATACTCCACATTCCACTTTTTTCAATCTTTGACCACTCGAATACAGAGTGTTTAGTGTAAAGTGAGCATCCAATTATCTCGATAGCTAGTGGAACACCCACACACTTTCTTACGATCCTCCTACCAATATCTATCAATTCCGGGGTTCTTGTTGGACCTCCCTTTGCAAATGCACATTTTTCAAACAGTTCCCAGCTTTCTTCTTCTGAGAGTTTTTGAAGCCGGTGACAGCTAGAGGTTTGCATGGCTGAACAAACATCCTCCTTGCGTGTGGTTGCCAAAATCCTGCTTTTCTCAGAACCTCCAATTTCTAGCAAACAATTCATCAGGCCATTCCATTTGTCTCCTTTTTCGTTCCAAACATCATCGAGCACTAACAGATAGTTTTTACCCCCCAATTGCTCTTTTAGCTTGTTCATTACAGCTTCTGCACTTTTCAGCTGGTGGATAGTTCCCGTAAGAGATTGTAACATCTCACCTAACAACCTTTCGACATTAAAGTTGTCAGAGACACAAACCCATACGAATTCCTCAAAATGTTGTTTAGCCATCTCATCTTTGTAGATTAGCTGAGCCAAGGTCGTCTTCCCTAGACCTCCCATGGCAAGAATGGTAACGACCGGCAATTCCATCTCATAATTTGTACTGATTAGCATGCTAACCACCTTTGAGATATCACCCTTCCTGCCAACAATTTTGGAATCCTTAACAAAAGGGTTCGTAGAACTCCCGACCTTAAGATCAGGAAGTGAGTTGATGTATTCGAGTGGCTTAAGGCCAATTCGATGTGCTTGTGCAAAAAGCCTTTGTAAGGACGACCGAACATTCTTGATTCTACGAGCTAATCTCCAACGAAACACGAGAGGAGTTGAGGATGGAAAAAAAGGACGTACTTTGCTCCATTTCTGGGCCCTCTCAACCTTTTGCCTTTGAATTTCGTACTCTGATTCTTCCAATGTAATTTGGGCATCAAGAGCAATCGAGTCCAGGTCTTTGAGCCAACATTGCACGTATTGGCTAGTTATTCTCTTGCTTTGAGCATCGTATAGGAAAGCTTGCATTTTCTCGAAATCGCGGGCAAGTTGTGTGAGGCATTTTTTCAAACGCCATGTAAGCAAGATTTGGTGAAGCGAATCCGCCATCTTCACCAGGGCCTCAATAGCGATTCCGACTCCCGCATCTCCCATCGTACTTCCTAGTAGAGAAGGGAATAAAATCCCCTTGTGAATGAGTGAACGAGAAAAACATAAAAATGCTGAATCAGGAATATATGTGAACAAAGCCTCCATCAAATCTTCAAACGAAGCTCATTCCAATGGTTTTTACATTGATATTACTTGGTACAAACGAAGCTCAGATAATTCAAATTTGTCTTATACTTAGGGAATATCGATTTCACGTTTGACCAGAAGTATTGTTTCTCCATTATTAGTACACATTATGATAGTGCAAGAAAGATTTGGTCAAGCTCAGTTAGTTTGTCCAACCCAAAAAAAAAAAAAAAAAAAGATAATTCTTTGTACCAATGAAAAATGTGGAAAAATCGTTTCCCAAACAAATATGAGAAGTGATTGATAGGCCTTCAAAATGAAATATTCATCAAAAACCAGACCATCAGGCTACCACTGCTTTCTCAATATGTGTAAAACCTGGTTAGCTTATTTATTCTGGAAATGGAAACCAAATATAGTATGGCTTATGAGAATCAATCCTCACAAGTAACATACAGTAAAATTAAACAATAGTCAAATTAATTAAAGGTGGACGACATAAAAATATGTACCATCAAAATCGGCTAAGTAGGGAGCAAAATACCTTGTTGGTGAAGAGCTTCAAAAATTTGAGCGGAACTCTATTGCCTTAATTTCCGGTCCTGATCTTCTTCTTCCGGGGAACCAGCGGTGTTGTTTTTTTTTTTTTTTGGAAGAGATGAACAAAAAAAAACGTTACTTAAGCTTGTTGTGAGTTGAGTCCTTCAGGAAACAAAGACAAGGCAAATGAGCAATAATTCGTCTCTCTCTATATTGCTTTCGAGACTTGAAATGATGCATTATTATTTTCCTCTCTTTTTTTTCTCCCAATTTATACAATGCTGCCCTTGCTTACACATCCACTTGCTCTTTAAGAAATTTTATTACTCCCTCCGTCCCAAAATTATTGTCCAGTTTGAGATTTCACTTTTAGTACAATTTAAACTAAAAATGAAAACTCAAACTGGATAATAATTATGGGACGGAGGGAGTAATAAGAGACGACTTCTCGTTGCTTAATTCAGGCTGGCTGTGTGTAGGTACTACTTTAAATGATCGTCGTAGTCGTCATCCCCTTTATCGAAATTGATGTCTAAATGCATTGGCATATATAAATGTGTAGAAATTAGTTGCTATCCTTTGCGTCCTAAACTGATAAACATACGTATTTGTTCAGTACATCAAACATCACAATCATCATGGAATAAAGATATTATTACTATAATTTCTGGAATTCTGACATCTGACTAGTTCAGCGTTTTGAAGATACCAAACCAAAACCAGGTTGGATGTATAAGTGCATGGTTTACTTCCAGTTCCCCAAATACATTCTGTAATGACTAAGATTAACAAATTAAAAGTCTTTAACTTTATTATTGAGACACTAATTGTATACCACTTTAAAATAAGGGACTCTGGGGAAGGTCAAAGGGATACTAAGCCAAAATGGACCAAGTTCTGGTGGATCGAAATCCTCCTCTTGCCCGGGGTTTTAACAAGATTTCAATTTCACGAACCCTATTACGCTAGTAACATTGCCCAATATCACATGATCACATGAACATGGCTAAAGATCTTAACACGACTTGTCATGGACTTTATTTCTGCAAGTCTCTTTTAACTCTGTTTCAGAAGTATTGGTCCATTATCAAAGATTTATTACTATGAAATCACCCTTCCGATGGACATGTTAAATAGTGTTCCACCGTGAAAAGGAATCCATCCTATGCTAAATAGTTGAACCAAATGGACTATGAATATGAAACATCTAGAAGACAATACATACCCGGACAACTACTCTAGCAGCGGTCACCTGTCTCAAAATAACACAATGATATCATAGGATCTCCCCACTGTGCACATGAAACCATCACCTTCAAAGGTTACACACAGCTAACCTTTACTTTGGAACATTCGTTCATCCTCATTGAAACCTTATATATTAAACCATAATAGAATTCACCACAATACCAAACCTAGGACTTTGAAATCTCAAGGTGACTCGTTCAGCAGGCTTTCATCTCCTCTTCTGGTGCATACGTCTATACCAGAAGAAGTGATGTGGAAGCAGCCACTTGTTCAGAAGAAAAAGTGATAAAAAGAAAACGTAAATCGAATGCTGAACAAGTACTACATCCTGCATTTCCTGTCCACAGTAGCAGCCTACTTCACTTCATGAGTACTCAAATGTGGTCAACTGGAAACCATATTGTGAAGCAAAAAACTAGTCAGGCAGCAAGCTTCATGCATCAACATCTTATTTGCACAAAAATAGCACCACATCCTTGTAGAACAGCACAACTTCTGGCAATCAACAGCAGCTTAAAATTTTTCATTGTCCTCAGTTCTTAACACACAAACAACTTGACAGTAAATAATGGTCACTAATTTATAATAAAGTGGCCCTGACCAGTAATTCAAACCTATATATAATAATAACTACCGAGCTTTTGTCCGAAAACTAGAAAAGGCTTTCCTTGCCTTTAGTAAACACAACACTAGCAAAACAAATTGAAAAGATTGTAAAAAAACCAAGAGTTAGAAAAGGATCTTGACACTCACTTGAAGCGTATTTCAAACATCTGTGCAGTAATCTAGTTCTCTTCATTCTCTTACCCCCTAAACATGCGAGAATTGTTCCAAAGTTTTACTTTGAATCAGCCATATGGTTAATGAAACCAGAGAGAAACGAAACCGATATTCAGGAAGATAAAGCTAAATAGATTGCAGGGGATTCGTTCCAAGTACGAGTAGAGCAAAACCTATCAAATGGCAGGGAGCTCTTACAGTATCATGAAATCAATGAGACACTTGATATACAAACTCAAAGTATCTCAACATCCAAAAGCTACATTGTAGATTACACTAAAAGGCTAAGGCTACAAACTTCAAAGCAAGATACTGTATATAGTCTCCCTGATTACAAAGCATAAATTAATGCAGAAAAGCATATACAGCAGTCGAAATATAAACCAAAAGAGCAGATGACACAAGAACAACCAATGCAGTAACTGCGTGAACCGAAGATTTACTGCCACAAGACAACATTCCTAACCTTATTTCAATCACATTCACCATCGAAAGCATTAAGAACAAGCAACCCATAACTGATCCAATTGCGGAGCCCAACATTCCAAACCTCAAGACCTTCAAACTGATGTGGGCTCTAAATGCTTCATCCACATCTTTACTATTCAAAAGATTGATTGCCAGCTTAAGGCCTTGGGCTACGAGGGACGAGAAGAGGAAGAAACTAAAAGAGACTACCTCGAACACAAGGAGTTTCTTCGCCACATCAATGCCAGCATCACAAGCTGACGTCTCAAGACTGTGCTGGTTCGGGGTGGTCAAGGATAACCCAACAAAGACAGCTATTGTGAAGAGGGAATTAACGTTAACGAGGCCATCGAGCGCTGTCACATGAACACTGGTGGTCGAGGATGATGAATACGAGGAGGTCGGCGTTAACGCATTTCTTCTGGGTTCTTCAGAATAATACTCTTTTGGGTACGGCCCAGATCTGTGGAGAATCAGATCATGCAAAATAAAAACCCAATCTTTAATCAAACGAATTTCCGTTACAGCATTTGAATGTGAAATAGATCAGAGAAAAGAATATTACTCTTCCATGGATTGATGAAATTGCTTTCACTTCTAGCTGGATGCGGCTGAAATAAACGACTTATGTGGAATGGTTGGATTATGATTTCGTTGTTGAAGTTGCTTGGAGGATTAAGATGGTATTTCCTGTAGTGAAAGGGAAAGTTGGGGAGCAGGAGCTGGGCAGCTGAGGTTTGCCGTTTTGGGGCCCAAAAATAGGCTCTTTGTGCTTTACTCTACTGCTTTATACAGAATGCCGGGCTGAAAATTCCCTTGACAAAAGATCCTTGTGCGTCACAACTCACAACTCACGAGTAACGTTGGATAATTTCGATTAGATTAATAAAATTGTCTCATAAAATGGCATTATTTTTGGTGATCTAGTTGACTATTATTATATGATATGACTAGAAATATCACATTTGTCAAAAATAGTTTACTAGCTAAGGTATTGGAAAATCAAAATTTGAAGCCGGAGATTTCATTTACTCATTCACCAGTAATCACCGCAAGAACATACACCATTTTCAAAATGATGAAACCTATTTCGATCCCTCACAACAATTTTTCGCCCAGTTATTTCACTTGTGAGCTTGATCATATGATGGCAGTCATTGCAAACCCGCAAATTTTTTACAACCCTTATGGTCGTGTTCGGCTGTGTGGAAATGAGGCCATAGCATATGGCAAGCCTCTCACTGTGTATGGTTAAAGCCCACTTCTTCTGTTGATCATCAATGTCCTGTGAAATCCCCCGTGTATCTGGAGAGTAACCCTTCAACTTCAACTTCTTGTACAATTGGTTGAGCTTTTTGTAGATAGCTTCTCTTTGTGGATGTCTAATGTCTCCACAAAAGAATTCGTGAATGTCATTCGCCACCTCGATTGAACTGCAACCTGGTTCTTTCTGAACACCGGCTTCCTTTAGCTTTGATCGGGCAAGCACTGCATCTTCCCAGTTTCCCTGTGCAGCATAGACATTTGAGAGGAGGATAAAGGTTGATGAATCAGCAACTCCTTGATCGACCAGCACTCGTGCTACTTTTTCGCCTAAATCAAACTTCTTATGAGTTCTGCAAGCACTCAATAATGATCCCCATATTACTGGATCAGGAGCTATGTTCATATTCTCAATGAACTTGTAAGCATCCTCAACACGACCTACTCGACTAAGAAGATCAACCATGCATCCATAATGCTCAATCTGTGGTTCAATACCATATCTTGTTGTCATGCTACCAAAGATCTCATTTCCCAAATCTACTAAACCACCATGACTACATGCATTCAGGACAGCAGTGAAGGTAATGCTGGTTGGTTTAATTCCTTCATTTATCATTCTCTGGAACATCCCAACAGCTTCAGAACTCTTCCCATTCAGTGAATACCCCGAGATCAATGAATTATAAGTGGTGACATCTTTTTCCTTCAAACAATTGAAGATTCTCTCTGCTTCATCAATACTTCCACACCGTGAATACATGTTGACCAAAGCTGAGCCAACTAAATGATTTACCTTAATATAATTCATCCCAATGTAAGAATGAACCCATTTACCAAGTTCCAAAGCTCCCAACTGTGCACAAGCTGACAAGATGCACACAATGGTATATTCATTCGCTTTAACACCATCCTTCTGCATTTCCCTAAAAAGCTCCAAAGCTCTGCTCATCTCCCCATTTCTAACCAACCCATCAATCATGGCCGTCCAACAAACTGTGTCTTTCGTTCTAACTAACCTGAAAACATCAATCGCCTTCTCAACCAACCCAAGATCACTATAACACGAAATCATAACCGTGGATGCAACTGTGTCTCGTTCAAGCATTTCACCAAACACCCTGTACGCATCCTCAAACTCCCCACACTTCCCGTACAATTCCAGCAGCTTCAACTTCACTGATCGGTTGGAGCACAACCCTAATTTCAAACCTTGTCCGTGAATTTGCATCCCGCTTCTCAAATCCAGTTGAAGCCCACAAGCTTTAAGTACGGAAGTGATTACATAGTTGTCGGGTAGAACAAATTCTTCAATCATCTTAATGTATAATCTGATGCTATCAAGATAAGACCCTGACAAAACAAGCCCATCAATGAGGGCGGTGTAGAGAAACACATTGGGTTTTGCAATATCCCGGAAAACATTGACAGCATAGTGAATAAAATCCAATTTAGAACACATCCGAAGCAGCTCAAATGCAATAAAGGGGTCATCTTTGAGTCCATTCTTTATAACAATGGCGTGAATTGGAGGAATTTCTTTGAAGGTTGAGCAATTCTGCAATGTAAAAACGATGCTTTTATTAGGGGAAGCAACATCCCGGGAGTTACTGAAACGGATGCTGGTGGAATATTGTGGCAGAGTGGCGGTTAATGCTGTGGCTTGCGTTAATGAAGTCATCAGCTGAAGTACTGAAAGGCGGACTAAGTAGAATCTCAGGAATGAGAAATGAATTCAGATGACTTCTTTAGTCATTAGCACTTTACAAATTGTCACCTTTTTGTTTGCATTCCAATTCCATTCCACAAGCGCGAATGAAAACTCCTTTCTCTTTCTTTTTGTTTGCATTTCAATTCCAATTCCATTCCATTCCACAATTCAATTCCAATTCCATTCAGTAGTATTATACTCTCGCCGTTGGGAAATGATTGTCTAGTTACAAGTAAAGAATTATACTCTCGGCATCCGTAAATGATTGTCTAGTTTGATATTTAACTTTTAGTATAAATTATACTAAAAAAAAAAACCAAACTGGACAATAATTTTAGGACAAAAGAAATATACACTATATATTAGTACAATTGCAAACACTAAGACACCAACTCGTACAAAACTAATAGCACAGCTCTGCAGTTAGACAAATCATTCGGTTTCATGTTATACCGGAAGATGTGGTGGCATTGTTGGCCTGATGGAAGTGGCAATTCTGCCGAGCATGCATGCCAATATTCCTTGTTCTCGAAGCACCCTAGTGATACTTCTCAAGTGATCCAAGTTGTCTCGGATTTTCGAAATGAGGTGTATGAGCAGAACAAATACACAAGGTAAGAAACTGACGAGGAACAATCCACCGAAACTATGTATGTTCAAAATGCTAGGTTGTGAAGCTGCATCTTCACCAGGCATGAATGATGATGATGATGATTCACTTCTTACCCATGTGTTCTCCATCCGTGCAAGTTTCCCTTCCTCCCGTAGTTTCATAATCGCCCTTGACATGTTAGAAACCAGCTGTGCGTGTTTTTCCTGGAATGCCTACTCATCTTGCAATTTATAATAGCAAATGTTAGATTGTAAAAGAAACTACTAACAATGTCCGCATGATCAAATTATACGATGCATCATCAGTATTGATATACAGATTATTATTGGTGTACAGGGCTCAATTAAGGTAAAATATAATCCGGTAGGACGACAGACAAAGGTTGAAAGCACTCACAAACCCGAATGCATTTGTGGTAGATCGGGATGCAACCATGGAATATCCATCCCCATATTTTGCCAGAAAGACTTTGAGGTATGGAATTTCGTCCTTGATGGCTATGACACCACCATTTTTAATTCCTTTTGATACAGCATCTGCATATCCTTCAGGGGAGGAGTAGAATTGAAGCCGGTCATCTTTGACGTTAGTGTTATCAACGATATATCTCTTCCTATAAAAGAATTCAGATGGGTTCCTATGTATTCCCCAGCAGATCCAAGTTGAATCTTCTGCAATGTCAGCATAGAGCTCAAGGTAGCAGTGTAAGTAGCAGTTACTATAAGCACTGCAAAGAGCCAAACCACGACTACAAATCTTGACAAATTACTTGTCAACTTTTCATCTATTGTGATTAACGTTACCCAGATTGAAGTTAAAAGCTGGCAATTATACACATTAAAAAGATGTAATCATGAAGAAGGTTTCTGTTTTTCCTTTGGCACATTATAGTACTGAGCTATTTTACTAGTTGAATTCACTGTACATCATTTCATGTTTATGAAGTAGAAGCATGATTAAGAGCTTACTCTGAACATAGAAAAGGGTTGAAAAGCCAAACCACAACATGGTTCCGACTTGATGAGCATAAGTACCCTGGAACTCCTCATTATTAGAAGAATGTTCAATAACTCAAACCACCAATCCGTTTAGGACTAAGAAGCCAACGATGGCCACCCATAAATCCGGTTGAAGGGGCCTCGAGAAAAGCCATATATTATTGCTTTCTCGTTTTGTGATGGTTCCCATGCCTATATCTGAGTAAGTAATCGTGAAATCCGCATACAAGCTTCGATTGGATGTAATCGTAACGTCGCCAACAATGCCATCAAAGTTCTGAGCATATTACATGTTACGTGACTCAATTATACAAAATTAGGAGTTAATAATCAGCTCAAGTTGGACTTTAACATTTTCTACACTCTAAAAGTACTAAAAGGAGGAGCAAAAACAGGGGAAACAGGCAAACAAGAAAGTTGAAAATTACCTCAAGATACAGTTGGTATACGAGTTCACTGTAGCTGCCCAGATTTTTGCCAGTTTGGTCTACCATGGGATGAACTCAAAAGCTACCTAATAATCTAATGAACCGATCACAGCATGAAAGACGTCTACGCAGAAGCCCGTAATGCTAGTTGTATTGGTATAATTATCTCTCTCTACACTTATGAATTGTTTGAACCCTGCATTGTTCAAAACTGCAATTTTTAGTTTGTGCTGGCTTTCAATCATTAGGAGCTCCCTTGGAGCAATTGTTGTGAACCCTGGCCATACAATGGCTTCTTCAAGACCAACCCTTTGTGAAGTACTACTAGAACTACCAGATAGACTCCTCCCTTTAACAATGCCATGTTTTGAAGTCCAAAACCCAACTCTTCTTTCTCTTTTCCATATTACATTCACTATTTCAAACGCTTCAGAAGTTCGTCTTCCATCCATGATTTGAAATTTGCCACTCAACCCGGAAAAAATTGTTCTTGTAATATCATCTAGAACCCTTTTACTATCATAACCATGCTCTTCTAATTTTTCAGCAAGTGCCCAAATTGTGTCGTATGCCCAAATACTCAGGACATCGACTTCTCATGATTCGACATTAGGGTTGTTGCTGTAAAATTCCTTTTTCCATCTAAAGCTGAATTCTAGCAGCTTTCTTGAGGATGGAATATAAGCCTTCAGTCCAATAACACCCTGCATTGATCGACCACTTCCGGATCCGCGGATCGAATCTGATTCATACTTTGTCAGTCACAATCCAGGCATACCCTGCTTTCATCATCCCCAGTCTATTTGCTACTGAAAACAGACGATAAGCATCAAATGCTGACAAATGTACGATGAATATCGTTTGCTGCAGAATTGCAAGCCTATGAAGGGCATCCAAGATTTGATCTTCAGTTGAGAAAGGAGAAATAGTTGCCCTGTGATTGACCCGAATGCTCCTCTCTTGCAGGGAACCCACCAGGAAAGGTAGGGAATTTTTGCCATTATCTGTGTCTTCGTGGATCACTGAGACAGTTCTCCATTGATGCCAGCTTACGATGCTCGCAATGGTCTTAAATTGTAAGGTTTCATCTTGATTTATTTGAATGTGGAAAGGAAATTGACCACAGGAAGATGGAAGAATTAATGAAAGAGTAAAAATTGGAACTTTGACTTTGTTCCCTAGACCACCCAAAATTTTCAGGATTGTTTCCGTTGCTGGGCCTACAATTAGTGCCTCAACCCTGAGATTTTCCAGAAGATCCCCAGCTGCGATTTAAGTCAAATTCAGCCTATTGAATTTGACGAAGCATAAATCTGCACTAAAAGAAACAGAATGTTCTCATTCTCTTCGGACTTTGTTTTTCTTTTTTCTTAAAGGCACAAATAAGAAGGTATAGTTGAACATATTACACTAACACCTCTATCACGGATAAAGAACCTGACACTATGTTGTAACAGTCTCTTAGGCAGGGACGGAACCAGGGGGGAGCGAGGTGGTCGGCCGACCCTGCAGTTGGCGATTTTTTTTTTTAAAAAAAAATTATTTTTAAAATTATTAAAATATTTTCAAAAAAAGAATTTATATATGTGCTCGACTCTGTGAACATTCGGAGCTAGTTCCGTCACTACTCTCAGGGATCAAAGAGATGCAAAATACCATTAGAACTTTGTATCTAGTAGAAGATCACACACATATATAAGGTAGGTAAACATATCTATGACTTATAAAATCATATTCTATTTTGTTTATTGTGAAAATTTAAGCATAGTAATTATTTTGAGATAAAATATTTGAACTCGATAATCGTTCTTTAACATTTCGTTTGTCTCGACATCCAAACTTGGTTGTCATGTCCCTGAGTTGACTTTGCCGAACCTACAGTTGACTTTCCACATAAAATATAATTTTTTTTAAAAAAAATTAATTCTAATTAAATACAGGATTTGATGGAAACACATCCCCAGTGCAAAAATTGAAGATAGAATCTAGAAAATAATAATTCACATTGCACAATTTTATAATGAAAATTACTTTTATGAGGGAGAAGAAATATGATGTTTAGTTGGGTGATGACCGGTGCTTTCGATGGTTGGAATTGAATAAACATGGAAAGACAAGTGGTGGTAGTCGTGAAACTTCTATCCGCCTGCGTTTTGTGACTAGTCCTAAACATAGAAGACAAAAGGCGAGGAAAATAATCAAAGTGTAATGATCAGTGACACAAAACTATAACGTAAATGCAAATTATTCTTTGGCTGTTTTGTGTAGTAACTTACTAATGTTTTACTCTTTCTTTCTTAAAATTATTGTCTAATTTTGATTCTCATTTTAGTACAATCATTTTTGTTTTACGCCAAAACATTTCCCTTTTTTATGGACTTTTTTTTTTCTTTTTTTTTTTTTTTTGTGCAAGGGTGGAAGTATAGGATTTACGTAATGAAATTAACCTTTTTTTTTGGTGCAAGGGTGAGGTATTGTGAGTTCTGATGCAGCAGCTTTAGAAAATTAAAAGAGTCACAAATTTTTTAACAGGCTTCCACTGCCCAAACTATGTTCTTCAATTTGGTTGCGCAACTGTTTAATATAAACCAAGTTCGCCAAGTGATCTCTCTTGCTAGTTTTCAGCAAAAATCGCACGTTTGGCAGACAGACAGTGAAGCGCAGACCCAAGATTTACAAAATAGTACCTCAACATCCAAAGGATCAACAGTATTTTAGTGCAATATATTCATGAATAATCCTTTAGTTTCATTGTTAAACTTTGATTGATAGTTTGATACTACAAAACTAGAGATGCTTTTTGAATCTGATCCTTCAAGTGGTAGAAATGCAGTAAGCACTCTTCATCATCTTTTCTAGACTTATCTTCTTGTACCCTGCCCTTTTACTTGCATGAATCTCTTCCTTCATCAAAAGTATTTATTAACTTGCTAAAGTTCATAAAAGTTTTCCAGAGCACTCACTGATCCAACAATTTGTAGGTTCAAAGGCGGTCTTATGTTGAGTTAGAAATTTCCAAGAAGAGATGGAAAAAGCAGTAAGAGAAGACCGATTCTGGATTGCTCCCTTTCAGCAGCTAAGCAAGAGGATTCCGAATTCCAATCAAGTAAACACATAACAGTGGGAATTTTCACCTGTTTCCCTGGTGATACTACCTGTTAGTAATTCCTCAGAAGTTTTTTTGCTTAAATTTGCGCATAATCCAATCATGTCTACAGAAAATCTTTGGAAACCAATTCAACTTGATAATTTTGCCGTTGCAAGGAAACCTAAGGACTGTTGTGAAGGAAGCAAATACAGTACTACGTCTGTCCTAGAAAATAGTCCACATTGACTTTTGAAATTTGTATTGTTTTAAGTAGAAATATCAGAACTCAATATGGTCAATTTTTTGTGGGATAGAGGGAGTAGTAAAGAAAGTAGCTGCATTTCAATCAAACAAACAAGGAGAATCCATGTTTTATCGACAAAGGGGAAAAGAAAAAAATTATCTAAGCAGCATTGGAATGCATATTATGAGGAAATTCCTCTAGCATTATCTCAAGGGGAAAAAAAAATCTTATCATCAAAAGGAAGGCAAAACGTCGTGAACCAAAGCTAATCTTGTGCCTTGCTCTTTTCAGAGGTTCAAATGAAGAATGTTTTCGATATGATGACTGATAGAGATAATGTCAACTTCAGTATCCAATGCTGAAGAATGCTTGCAATCAGCAATCATATCCTGGATCCTCAGTGGAACAGTTTCATGCTTTTTCTTCTCTCCCAGATCACAAAAGAACAGAGAATCCCAACGCAGTTGCCCCAACTCTGACCTGTATTTCTTTAATGCCATTAGGAGTTTGTCACCTTTTTGATTTGTGCCGCCAGTGGTCTGGATTGCAAGCAAATTCTTAGGTAGCTCAATGATAGACTTGTCCCATATCTGATCATGCCTATTGATCAATCTCCACAATGTCAATGTGTTTTGAACACCGAAATTTGCCTTTGTCAATTGCCACTAATTTTATGTTTCGAACAAGGAATCATAACCCAAAAGCGTCACGCCGAACAAAACAATATCCGTTTTGCCAATTTGATCATGGACCGGAAGTGTCTTAAACTTCTCTTCCCCAACCTCAAAGTATTCCACAACTCGTTTGTCATTCGAGTCTATACGATATTGCTCCATCGACACATAAATTTTCCCGATCCAGAACATTAAACCGATTTGCAACTAATTTCCTCCATGACTCAGACGACATAGTATTGCTGTTCAAAGTGATGATGAACACCTCTCTCTTGTTGTTATTATGACAGTAAAGTAGTAGTTTATATTGGTTATTATTGATCGGGTCGAATCCCAAGATACAGGTCGGGTTTGTGAAATCGGGAGGGCGACCTTTTCCCTAGTCGTGAGATTGAGCAACTCAAATTGAAATTGGTTCTGCGTCCTTAAACAGATCAGCCCGTTGACTATGTTTGAACATGGTATTCCGCCATATCCATTATCCGGGAGCATCATCGTCAAAGGTGTGTACAGGAAGCTGACCGGGAAAAGCTCCGCCGGGTTTTGCCGGAATAATATACCGTCGTTGTGCAAACACACGGTCTGTGAAATAGGAGATGTGATGATTCCGACGGCCGGCGTATCTGAGACTGGGTGAGATGAAAATCGGCCAATTTTGGGTCGCGAATCAGGGCGTGCCATGATTTACACACAACTTTGAATCGCATTAGGGTTTTGGCTGGAAGGCATGAGAGAATATCGAAGATTAAATCGTCAGGGTTTTGATGAAGCTCTCTGCTCTTCATTTTCCCCTAGTTTTGGCTTTTGAGATTGGTTTCTCGCTTGTAAATATATAACTTTGATGGCTTTTATTTGTTTTTTAGGTACACCAAAATTTGGGGATGTTTCGTTGATTTGCGGAAAAGCAAATGCAGATTGAATTGCATTTGGAAACAACATCTCTCGTATTCCAATTTGATTCCTAGAAGTGGTTGGTCTTTCAGCTCAAAACAACTAAGAAAGAAGGCAGAGTTCCGGCGCCACGATGCTAACAGAAGACTTAGCAGTTCTGTTGATCACTTGAATACCGAAATGGTCAACGTTATTATGTGTTTATATGATACATTGCAATTCCGCTTTAACAATTCACGATGTTTGATTGTGTGTACTAGGCAGGAGATGAGACTTCCTAGCCGCCCTACTCGTTATGTGCAACATCGTAAGAGTTTTATCAATGATCCAACATCACTGCGACAAACTCTTCATCTTGGGTATGATCCCGCGACTAGAACGTATGAATTGCTAAGGTCGCAGCTTGAAGGGTTGGCGACATCAAATGCAAGCTGAGATAATGACATTGAGGCCTAATGGTCAATCCACATGGAGGAAACTGGAGCCTGATTGATATTAACTTGCGGATGTGGACTCGTGAAGAGTAGCTAAAGCAGCCGAACCTAATAAGATACCAATTACACCCCAGTAACGTTTATTGACCAGCTGATGGGAACACCATTTTGCGGTCGAAGATGAGGTAAGGGTAATTGCAGGTATGAGAAGACGAATGCTGGATTCATCCTTTCCAGGTTTCAGCAGCCAACAAAAGTGGGAGAATATCATCTGTTTCCCCTGATGATACTACTAATACTAACAACAGCTAATGGTGAATGATGCCTCGTGTTCTTTACAATGTAAGAAAACCTTCTCAGCGGTTCGTTAGAACTAGACTTGCACATAAACTGACCATGGTTTACAAGATCATTAATCAGAAACAGAAAACAAACAGAGAATTTTTTTACAAGATCATTAATCAGAAACAGAAAACAAACAGAGAATTTTTCATAAATTTCAACGGAATGCCTTCCATCGCACAGATGAACTTCCTTTGCACCAGATGTAACGAGCATTATGGTTATGTGTCTTTGTAGTAATACAAATGACAGAACATCATCATCTCTCAAGCAGAGTAACTTTTATTGAACCAGAAAAAAAACCTTAACATCTAATTTAACATCATAATATGCTATCTTCTCTGAGAATAAATCCCTCTCACATTATTTAACCTTAATCAACCTTTTGCTAATCTTCTGCCTTGATCTTAGAGAGATTCACAGGAAGAATGTTCTCCACATGTCTGTGAACGGTGAGGAACTCTAGTCAGCAACTTCACCCTCAAATATCATTCCAACAGTTTCATACTTATTCTTTTCTTTCAAATCACAAAAGATCAAACTATCCCAAGCATGCCGCGTATTCATCGGCCCTCTCTTTGATCTTATTACAAGCTCACTTGCTACTGCAAGCTTACTTTCTATTACAAGCTTACTTATAAAGGTTCTGAAACTGCGAAGGTATCCACTGGCATCAAAATCTTTCGGCAGCTCAATTATAGATTTATCCCAGACCGGTTGGTCAGTGTCCACAATGTGATGAAACTCTGACCATTACCATTGCTATTGCGGAAGCTTGCCAATGTGAGTTTGCCTCCAATGCCTGTCTGGGAAACAAAATCAAACTGATACTCTAGCATATCATCATGAAGCGGAAGTACCTTAAACTCCTCCACCCCAACCTCGAAATATTGCAGAACCATTTCATGATTCAAGAAAAATATTGCGCCATCAACACAGGTAATGGCTTTGGCTGAAAAAATGTCAAAGTTGTACACTTGCAACTTTCCTCCATGACATAGACATTTGGCTGCTAAAAGTGATGACAGTATACTCTCCGTTGTATTGAACGGAAAGTACTTTGTAGTGGTTACTGATTGGATCAAATCCCAAACGTGACAAACAAAGTGTTTGTGCTATAGGGAGAGCTCTCTTTTCCCTAGTGGTGACATTGAGCAATTCAAATCGCAGTTGGGGCTGTACCCATAAACAGATTAGACCATTCACAATGTTCTATTTACCAAAGCTATTGTTGCGGCCATGGACAGGTGTACACAGGAAGCTGATTGGAAAAGACTCCGGTAAGCATAGCCGGAAAAATACCATGTCTTAACGAAAAACCACTACCTCTGACGAGATGAAATAGAAGATAAGAGGATTCAGGCCGGCGGGCCAGAGAATCGGTATGATGGATATCAGCAAAATATGGGTCGCAAATCAGGGAGTTCCATGATTTACACACAGTTTTGAATCGCATCAGGTTTTTAGCTGGAAGCCTTGTTAATACATCAAAGATGATGTCGTATGGAATATGATGCCGCAGTTGCCCAGAATCATTCAGTGGGTTTGAACCCTGTTCAACTACTTTCCTCTCCATCTCCTTTTCCGTTTTTTTTCTCTCACCCTTTGCGTTTGTATTCTAAGAAACAATATAACTTTGGGGGGTTTTTTTCTTTATTTAGTTATTGCTGGTTAAATTACAGAACAGAAAGATTCCTTACCCTTATCTAGGATGTTTTCTTTTGCAGATAAACACCGCAATTTCCGTTGTATATGGAAACAATACTTTAGGTGCGTAGGAGTTAAATTTGCTGCATTTCACCAAAAGAATAGATACTACAAACTGAGACTTCTTTGGCCAACCACTTGAGCAATCAGCTGGGCTACTTCTTCACCACAATCCTCCTGTACATGATGACCCGCCTGCGATGGCAACAACGACAGGAGCATTACATTTTATAAACCAAAAGAAGGATTTGAAAGCAAGGATCCAACATCCCGTTTGTTTTGTTGTACTAAAAATACGGGACAATCATTTCGAGATGGAGGGAGAAATCTTTAGGCAGCAAATTGTGGGCCAATGGTAAACTTACCATAGGGATTTTGATAAGTTGGTGCTTTGATTCTTTGCAGAAATCTTCCACGCCATCAAAGCTAAGCCAGCGATCCCGTTCTCCCCAGAAAATTGTTGTTTTTACTCTCCATTTCTCATCCATCAGTGTCTTTCTCATCTCTTCAACATAAGCCTGAGAAGAGACAAAAATTTAAGCCCATAAATCATTGCTAAACTAAACCATATCACTTAGAATGTCAAATGCATATGTTCTATAAAGCATTTGGAAACATCGATTTAAAAAACCAGCAAATGAGTAAATGAGCAAATGATGTAGAACCAGTTTGAGGCCACTAAATTCAAAGGCTAAAGCAAAGAAGTTTAACTTGACCATTGTCACATTGAATCCATTTCAAACCGTATGGGAAAGTATTAAAACCATTTACTATCCCGTGGAAAGTTGCTGATCACCTTAAGTTCTTTCTTCATGGCCCGACTGATTGCATTCAACGCAAAACCTGCTGAGCCAGATGTTAGATATGGTCTTCTATACACCATAGCAACATCTTCTTTGATTTGGTATGGGCCACAGCTTGTCAGGGCTTTATCACTGGCTCTTAGAGGATCCTACTTGTCAAACCAAAAGAAGGCAGTTGATGGGAGCAGAGTTTACAAGTGTATTGACAATTTTACAGACCTGTCTCCTACCTGTGAAAATATTTCCCCCAACAGGAAGTTGCTGAATATGGATAGAGTTGATGGAAGATTGGCATGCTTATCTGTGATCTGTATATACCACAGAAATATGCACTGAAGTGTCTCTAAACTGACAACAAATACTTAGAACAGTAACAACTGCATACTATAAAGATACCCATGCAATTATGCACTTCCCAAATGCAAAAATGCTTTTTAGCTTTTGGGATAAAACAAGAACACTGAAATGATACCCCAATTCACTATCAACTTATCAGACTTCTACATTTTGATTCATTTTTGGGATCTCTTGATTATCATGGATACTTATTACTTTCCAAGACAACATACGCATGCATGTTACAAATTTGCTTAAATACAACTGACTTTTCAAGCATTATACCAGTTACATTGAGATGGAAAAGTAAGTTAATTTATAAGAAAAAGAAAAGGAAAAAATATCCATGAAGAACTGGAAATATAACTTACTGGAGGATTCAAAAGGATGAGATCAGTAATCTTTTCTTGGTGTGTGCTGGCATATTTCACCACAACAGGCGAGAAGTAACCCTGCAAAGGAGGGGGTATTAGCTTGCGGCTGCTCAACTGTATTTTCTGCTATACGTACTGGTTTATGCAAATTCATGAAAGGAAAGATACCTGGACAACAAGTGTGACCTTACCCTTGGTGGTTTCTTCAATAACAGATTCCAAAGATGACACATACTCTGCAAGCGCAAGTCTAATTGCTCAAACTATTTCAAGTTAAAATGTTGATTAGTCTTTGATTCTTGATTGGATATTATATTTGTACCATCCAAAGTGTAGTCAAAACCGTATTTGGGTTGAGGCTTGTCGGAAAATCCAAATCCTGCAAATGCAAAAAGATATAGTTAACTTAGAATTCTTTAGCTGATAATCAACTAAATTCTCTAAATTGTGTTATTGGTGAACCTTGCTAAACACAATTGATGGCACTCCTTTCAAAAGGAGCACCATAGAAAAACCATTGAAGCAATGAATCTTCAAATTTCTTTAGGTATAAACAAAAGTCAAAGCTCACCTAACCAATCAAAAGCGACAGTATGATATCTCTTTGAGAGTATTGGAAGAAATTTCCTGTATGAATATGCCTGCAACACAAAGGAGAGTATGATTGACCTCAAATATGATTGACTTGTGTAGTTTTAACTTTAGGATCAAATGATTGTTGTATAACAAAAATGCTGACCTGCGAAGGAAACCCGTGAATTAACAAAATGGGATGATTGTCGTTACTTCCGCTTTCAATGCAAAACCATCTGTTGTACAAAATCATATGATATAGAGAGAATGTTTCATGCAGCAAACCCTGCAAATGACCAAATGCTTAATTTCTGCATAAGGTTTGGGCACTTCAACCACAGTCTTTTTCGAAATTATAATCAATAACCTGAAAAGATCAGATGAGGCCTGTGAACCAGAACCCATAGCCAAACCAAATATTGGATCTTTGGCCTTCTTCCCACCAGTGCCCCCAACAGGATGTGCTTTTACCTGAAAAACAAAACCCAATGTCATCAGGGCAATTAAAACCCCCAATCCCACCAATTAATCTGTATACATTTAGCTACATACAGAATGCAATCAAGGAAATTTTGATGGTTTAGTATAACTCACAATCTTTCCTTGATTGAACCATTCATCAGCCGGACTTGGCTCGTCCGAATATTTACCTATGCCAACAACATATATAGTCGAAATCAAGAATAACAGTCCTAAATTACACAATTTTGTAATCAGAAATTAGCATACCTCCGCTAAAGGAAAACCCGTCTCCCGCTGAAACAGGAGCATCTAAGTAATAATCCTAACAGGGCAGAGCAGGACAGGACATGAGAATATGAGATTGCATTACAAATTCTAGCCGGAGAAATGAAAATGTACAGGAATCACACACATAAACAGCAACCCATTTACAGAAAAGGCCAAATTTTCCACTGTACCTCGTTGCCATTGTCATTGCTAGAGTGGCAAGACAGCAATGAAGACTTCTCTTTGAGGAAGTTGCAGTAATGCTGCCGGTGCGGCGTTGATTGGAGGAATTTATAAGAATGGCCGGCGACGGAGGAGTGGCGGCTGCTGCGGGAGCCGGCAAACAAATTACAAGATGAGAATTGAACAAGGGCCATCTTGGATTATTGTTTTTTCTCTGTATATATTCAAGAAAAACAAGAACAACAATAAAAATGGGAGAAATTGATCATATTGCTCAGAGTGGCGGTTATTCAAGTTGCATTTCCCTCCTCCTTTGTGGGCAAAGCATCATTCAGGGCCCATTCCTTTCCAACGGATAGGGTGTCTTTGGTTCTCATTTGTTTCAACTTTCATTGGTTAAGCTCTCTAATTTAACCATGAAATTAAAGTACAGGTATCACATCATGAGGAAGCAAATTTAAATGGACATAGTGTGTGACTGTGTGTCTTTTCGACTGAACCCTTTTTCAAGTACACACGATGATATCTGTCCTTTGTAACTTATCCATAAGCATTATCATGACAAAATAAATGCATATATATAAGATCTAAATACAGGGTTAATCTTTGGTTCCGAATAACTAACGGAGAAACTCAAAAGATCCCCCCTTTATCGTATTTAAGTTGATTCTGATGTGTTTGGAGTGATACTGATGGTTGTGTTTAATCGTAGTCTTCCATGGATGGCATTATATTATACATTATGATGACTGAAGATCGATTTCCCCCCGAGGGCCCCGACAACTATGTGATCGTCAGGGCTTCAATTGGACTTAAAGAAGCGGTAGCAAATTGGTTGGGTTTTGCTGAAATCAATCACTGAAAGTTGACGCTAACGGAACTGTACAGGAAGTGCGGGGAAACAGAAGTTGCGAAGAGGGTGTTTGTTGAAATGCTCAAGAGAGATTTTGCAACTCTAATCCAAAAGAGAAGTCGAAAGAAGTTGGTGTTCAGAAAGAATCAGGTAGCCGTTCAAGTGGGGGGTTATAAAGGATATTCAAGAGCTCTTTTTTGGAGACATTGGAGAGCCACAATAGGTGCAAGTGTAACCTACAAAAAGGTCGAGCAGTCTGTACAAGATGTTGAGGGTGAAGGGTTGTACCCACAGAAGAAGTGGGCTTTAACCATACATCTTGGTATGTTTTCAACATGCAGTTGCCTGATTCCCATTGTGATAAATTCGTAGGCTTGCAATGACTGCCATTAAATGACCAATCTCACCAGTGAATCATGGAGAGAGAAACCGTTGGAGGGATCAAAATCGGATTTGTTTTTTTTTTCGCCATTTTGAAACTGGTTCCTACTGTTGGTATTTGATTAGTGGTGAACCATGCATGCCGGTGCTTGGGAACAATTTGGTTTTCCTGGAAACTTCTGCATTTTACTGACAGTTACTAATCTATTATTTTACCTCTGTGATTCAGTTGTCGGCAGAATATCGCTGGTTTTGTTCTCACAACTTGAGAAGACCTGGTCTCCAAGTCAACCAAGGTGGTATAATAAATCAGCAAATTAAGCCCGAAATTATATAGTAGTAACACATTCAAAACTGTTTATTGGAATTCATATGGAAAAGAAATGATGAGGAGATCCAGAATTCCGTTTCTGAAACTAACTGTACTGTTTTTTATGATTTGCCTTATTCTACCAGCTCACGAGCTTTATGTCAAAGATCTTGCTCAGTCTGAATATTCCAGTGACAACCACATTATGGCAGAGGATCATATCAAGACAGTTAACATTGGTGTTGTTATTGACATGGGATCTTGGATTGGTAAGAGCATCCTTTGCTGTATTAAAATGGCAATTTCTGACTTTTATGCTTCGAAACAGCACAACAAAACACAGCTTGTTCTTCATTCCAGGGACTCCAGGGGAGATCCAAGGCATGCTATTTCTTCAGGTTGGTTTTCTATTCTTCATGGCAATTCATTGATCATACAGTAAATAATCAACTCATAACATTTGTAGACGTTATCTTTATTATAAGCGATGAGCTATTCTAAAACTTATGAACATTTCTTTATAACAAAAGCTCAGTTGTACCTAAAAGTGCAATGATGTCTGTACTTTGTAGACACTGTGGGTGCTGTTTGCTGATTATAAGAAAGTTTGGTAGTTACATTTATCTAAGTTGTTCTTGCAGAAAGAATATGGTGGCTGAATTTGTTTTTAGGAATACCAAAAAAATTAGAGCTAGTCATTGGTATAACTATGTCCTTTTGTAATTGTAAGTTAAGAGTTTGGGGGAATTAGTTGTTCATTTTTATGGATAGTTTAAGTTTAACTTACCAAAAGTCAACTTTATAAAAAACAATGGGTGAGATCAAACCTTTTATCAATGTGTTTAATCAAGGAAGTCGATGGTAATTTATGTAAATTGTGGGTTAAAGTAAAGTATATGCCAACAATTAATTAAGTATTTGGATTAGAGGAAAGTCAACTTAAATAAGAATGTGACAGCAAAATTATTTATGAAAGAAAGAACAGTGATTAAGGACAAGTTGGCATTTAAATTGCAGCTGCTGAACTTCTGGAAAGTGTCAAGTTGCAAGCATTGATCATGGGGCCCGAAACAGTCCTGGGAACAAAATCTTTGGGCGCTTTGGGAAACAAAGCCAACATTCCAATATTTTCTTTTTCATCAATCCCCTCATCCCCTCATCCTTTCCTGATTCAAGTAAGCCAAGACGAAACCTTACAATTTAAGGCCATTGCAAGCATCTTAAGTTGGCATGAATGGAGAACTGTGTCTGTCATTTACGAAGATACTGATGATGCAAAGTATTCCGTACCACATCTTGTTGGATCCTTTCAAGAGAGAAGCATCCGTGTCTCTCACCGAACAGCCATTTCTCCTTTCTCAACCGATGATCAAATCCTGGATGAGCTTCATAAGCTTGCTAATCTGCAACAAATAATTTTCGTTGTCCACCTGTCACCATCGAATACATATCGTTTGTTTTCTATGGCAAAGGGACTTGGAATGATGAGAGAAGGGTATGTATGGATTGTAAGTGACAAGACTATGAACCAACTTTCATCTGCAGATTGGGGAGCGGTTCAGTCAATGCAGGGAGTGGTGGGAGTGAAGGCTTATATTCCATCCACAAGTAAGTTGCAAGACTTCAGTTTGAGATGGAAAAAGGAATGCTACAGAAATAACCCTAAAGTCGAATATGGGGAAGTAGATGTGCTAGGTATTTGGGCATATGATGCAGTTTGGGCACTTGCTGAGAATATTGAAGTACTGGGGCACACTACTACTGGTAAAGAACTTCTAGATGTATTTGCAAGAACAAAATTTTCTGTGTTGAGCGACCAACACATTGTGGATGGGAGACTACATTCGGAAGCATTTGAACTAGTAAATGTAATAGGCAAGGGGGAAAGGAGTGTTGGGTTTTGGACTTTAAACCATGGCTTAGTTAAGAGGAGGAGTCTATCTTCAGAAAGGTTTGGCCTTGAAGAAGCCATTGTATGGCCAGGGATCACAACCGTTGCTCCAAGAGGCCGTCTAATGTTAGCGAATGGCAGAAAGCTAAGGATTGCAGTTCTAAACAGTTCGGGATTCAAAGAACTCTTATATGTGCAGCAAAACAACAACACTAATACAGCTAGCATCACTGGCTTCTGCGTGGATGTCTTTCATGCCGTAATTGATACATTGGATTATCAAGTAGCTTTTGAGTTTATTCCGTACGTTGACCAGCATGGGAACAATCTTGGTAGCTATAGTAATCTTGTATACGAATTATATCTCGAGGTAATCTTCTACTTTTTTGACCTTGGAAGCTTAGGACATAAATGTGGAAATGAAACTAATGACTTGACCACCTTCACTTCTCTTTGATACTTCCCCTGCTTTTCTTCCCAAGGCTGAATTGGTAAAAAGTTGTATCCATACTCTAACCGTCTTAGAAGTAATTGAAAAGTGTAAATTACGGTCTTGTTGAACATTAGCTCTATATTTTGTCATCTAATTTTGATATATACTTTTTGAATTTTAGAAATATGATGGCATCATTGGAGACATTACAATCACAGGAAGTAGAAGTGTGTATGTGGACTTCACAGTTACTTACACAGATTTAGGCACCGGAACCATAATAAAACGAGAAAGCAGTGACAGTGACTTTTGGCTTTTCTTGAGGCCCCTGCATCCTGATCTATGGTTTGGCATTGCTGCCTTCCCAGTCCTAACCGGATTGGTGGTTTGGATTATTGAACATTCTTCTAATAAAGAGTTCCAGGGTTCAGTAGCTTATCAAATTGGAACAATCTTATGGTTTGGCTTTTCAACCCTTTTCTATGCTCAGAGTAAGCTCTCTGAAATCTGAAACATGCTCTTAGTTTTAACAATGAAATGATAGTCTAAAATGTGGGTTATTTAAGTACAACATTATTGTATTGGTCATTGCAGGGGAAAGGTTGTCAAGTAACTTGTCAAGGTTGGTTGTGATCGTTTGGCTCTTTGCAGTGCTTATACTGACTTCGACTTACACTGCTACCTTGAGTTCTATGTTGACGGTGCAAAAGATTCAGCTTGGATTGGAAGGGGAGTACATAGGAACTCATGCAGATTCTTTTGTAGGACGAACTATTGCCAACAACCTTAATTTTAAAGATGACCGGCTTCAGTTATACGGCTCGCCTGAGGAATATGCAGATGCTTTATCCAGAGGAATTAAGAAAGGTGGCATTGGCGCCATCATTGATGAAATTCCTTACCTCAAAGTCTTTCTGGCAAAGTATGGGAATAAATATGCCATGGTTGCAACCCAATCTACAACCAGTGGATTTGGATTTGTGAGTGCTTCCAGCAATTTTTGTCTCTACTTCATTATCTTATAATTTTTCCAAACACTTTCCCAATCCTGAGTTCCTAGATTGTGCTGACATTGTTTAGTATTGCTCTTAAAATAATGAACAGGCATTTCAGAAGAAGTACGGTCAGCTGGTCTCTGACATGTCACTAGCAATCATAAAATTGAGGGAGGAAGGAAAACTTGCAAAATTGGAGAACACGTGGATAAAGAGTGGATCATCCTTCATCCCCGAAGATGCTGCCACACAACCAAATGAATTGAACCCGCGTAATTTTGGTGGAGTGTTCCTCATTAGCTTTTTGTGTTGTGCATTTGTCCTCCTCGTACGCCTCCGTTCCATCCTCCAAAACAACTTGGATTACTTGAGAAATATCATCAAGGTGCTTCGAGATGGAGGAATATTGACATACATGCTCAACAAGATTGCTCCTTCAGTCTGGTCAATCCATACACATTCTGTCTCTGCGTAAAAATACAAAAAACAGCCTAGTTTGTACCAAAAAAAAAAAATTGATGTTTCTAACTTCTTCTTGTTGTCACATTTTACTTTGTACTTGTAAATTTTTAGCATAGTTTGCGGATTAACCTCTGAGGTTTAACCTGTTAAATTGCATTCTCAGCTGTGTTTATTTGGTACTACCATTGTTTTTTTTTTTTTTGTGTCTAAACCCTTTCTTGGAAACTTCTGCAAGCTGTTGTTATTGTCTGAAAACTTCTGTAGACTGCAGTTTTGCTGGCCGTTATATATCTGTGTATATTTTTACTACTTCGAACAATCAAGGTGGTGTTATGCTTTAGCATGTTCTTGAAAACCCTGGGAGAACTCCGTTTCTGAAACCACCCACTGTTTCTCATAATCAGTCTTCTTCTACCAGCCCATGAACTTGGTTTTGACTTCGAATTTGCTCAGGCTGAATATTCCGATGACAATAGCATGGCGGCGCTGCAGCATAACGAGAATGTTAACATAGGATTTGTTATTGACATGGGATCTGTAATTGGTAAAATCATCCAAAGCTGCATTGAAATGGCACTTTCTGATTTTTATGCTTTGAAACTTCTCTACAACAAAACACGTTTAGTTCTCACCAGGGACTCCAGGGGATATCCCAAGTTTGCCATTTCTGTAGGTCAGTTTTCTCTTGTGCAGTAAGTTCATATACATTATTGATTGTTTGTAGAAGAGGATTACTCTTCAGTTCATATACATTATTTTGTTTTTCCTCAGTACCTTCATCGGGAATACCCTTTCTTAATCCAAAAAAAAAAAAAACAAGACGAAATTGCACAATTTAAGGCAAGCAGTAGTTTTATTTTCATGATCCTTTTCCTACTGGTTATAGGAAGAACCAGAAACCTCTCAATAAATAAGAGAGGTTAGATTCAAACTTCTACGCGCGCTTCAATACCAATTCTTATTCAATTAGCTTTCAAATTAACCACATTTATCTTATCATCCATGGATTGCACTGATTTTTCATCGGTGGTCGAGTCGTTGGAGCTCCCGGTGAGGTATGGATAAATTTTTTCGCAGTATGGACTGTTCAATCCGACTCCTAAAGTTGAAGGGCTTAAGGACCACCACCGATGGGGAGCTAGTAAAACCAGGAAGTGAACATCTTGAGCTAAGGAAAGTTTTCCGTTCAAGGCTCTTGAATTTTCTCAAAGCTCATCCTGCTGAGAGTGATGGTATTCCGGAGGAAGATCTTCCAGAGCCTTTTTAACCCGACGTCGAACAAAGATATTATTATGAATCAGAAGATCAAGTTATTCACAACAATTTCGGACTCAACTACTGTGGCTGCATCTCATTTTGTTCCATCATTTAGGAGATGCTTTTCGTGACAAAACAAGAGGTTATTATACATATTAAATTAGTTTCCAGCCAATAAACTAAACATGGTTGATAGAAGAGAAGAAGACTAAAAAAAAAACAAGACTAAACATAGTTTCAGGCTTTTGCCTCCTTTTCTATACCTAAAAAAAAAAGAAGAGAAGAAGACTAAAGACTGTTGCAAAAGAACTAGTGGTAGTTCCTGAATGGGATTTACGAGAAGCCATCATCTGTGGGTGATATACTACTTTGTGTGTAAACAACTTACCTAGTTCAGAATTAGTGATATTATTGATGCAAAAGAACAAATGGATTGAGAGCGGATCATCCGAGGCCGAAAATGCTACTACGCAACTAAATACAGTATGTTGAATAATGTTATAAACTTCTTTTTTTTTTTTTTTAGAATAATGCTCATCGAACTTAGGGGTGTCAATTTCTGGCACGAAGACACGATTTTCAGGACATACACAATACGACATGATTAATCTTATTTTAGTTTTTACTTTTTATCATATTTTTGCTTTAAAAAATTTATTAATTACGTAGAATACATAACACAAAAATGATCCGTTAACTCAAAAAAAAAAAAAAAAAAACCTTCTTCCCTTTACCGTACCCAAAAAAAAACCCCTAAAATCAATTTTCTTTTTTGCTCAAAAGAAAAAAAAAACAAAAAAAAAAACATGTTGAAGCTAAGGTTGGTTCAGGGTAGTCTGTTGAAGAAGGTGGTTGAAGCCATTAAGGATTTGGTGCAGGATGCGAGGTTCGTTTTCTCCGCCAGTGGGGTCTCCATGCAAGCCATGTATCCCAGCGGAGTTGCCATGATTGGTGACCTTTTTTCTTAAATCTGAAAGCTTTGAGCATTACCGCTGCGACCACCGTAGTATTTCCATCGGGATGAATATCAGTCGTTTGGCTCACATTTTAAATCGGGCCGGGAATGATAGCGTCTCAAGTTTGAAGACGGCAGTCCCACTGTCAATTTCCAGATTGAAAGCCCTTGTAGGTAATTTTTATATTCCTTCCGCCCAAAATTATTGTGCAGTTCAGATTTTCACTTTTAGTCCAATTTGTACTAAAATTGAAAATTTAAACTGGACAATAACTATCTGACGGATGGAGTACTATTTTAGTTTTTTTTTTTTTGTCATGATCTTAATTTTGCCATCTGTTTGTGAATTTGCAACCCTAGATGAGATATCGGAATTTGAGTTGGAGCCGGTACGCATTACCGATCCGCTTCTAGAAATTCCACAAGTAGAGTATGAAGCAACCGTGATGTTGCCTTCAGCTGATTTTGCTAGAATCTGCAAGGACCATGGCGCTATTGATGGCACAGGTAAAACAACAATCGTAGCCTGTCCGTTTTATTAAACTAAAATCTTAGTGCTGTCTGAAATCTCAAGGTAGAACACTTTTTTTTTTTTTCCAGGAGATATAGTTGTGATTTCTGTGACAAAGGAAGGTGTTGAGTTCTCTACTGAGAGTGGTTATGTTTTCCGCAGGTGCAATACAATAGTAAATAAGGTATCTCTTGGGGTCATTATTCTCATTTCAATTTCTTTGGTAATGTTGTTAAACTAGAGTCTGTGTTTGTTTCTGTTTCCATCCGGAGGATGCGACTGTGATTGAAATGAACGAACCGGTCTCTCTGACATTTGCTCTTCCTTATTTGATCTCCTTCACCAAAGCCAGCTCACTTTCAAAATCGGTAACAATCTCCCTCTCTACCAAGACAGCTGCTAACAGTGGAGTACAAGATTGCTGCAGGGATGATTGGTAACTTAACGTTCCATTTGGCACCAAAAGTTAAACCAGTTTGTGAATTCTACTTTCTCTCTAAATTAGACCCGAAGTAGCTTTGGTTTCAGCTAGTCTGTCTGCATTATCTGTGGATGCTTTTGTTGGAACCTTGAAATTGCCTTTCCACGGTTTATTCTCGGGGTGTCTATCTACTACTTAGCCATATATATAGTTCGCTCAGAATGCGTAGTTGTGGATGCTTTTGTTGGAACCTTATAGAGACCTTTCTACGGTTCATTACTGCAATTCTCTTCCAATTCTTTCGGCATTTGAACATTATTATGGTCGTCTAATCATCCGATAGAAATGTTCTGTCTTAAAATCAAACTATTATATGATTGGGAACATTCACATGATGCTGAAGTTTTCCAAGTTTGAGTATTTTCTCATACAATATTTGTTGTATAAGATGAGGCCGGATCATGCTAACGAAGTTTTGATAATCTTTCTGGTAGAATTCATTCACAGGACAGTACATGTTGAATGCTTTGTAAGTAAAATTCCAGGCCGTATACATTCAAATTTAATTTTGTTGTCCTTAAATAAAATGGCAATTAATGTCTACACATATATGCAGATAGATAACTTTCCTCAATTGGTCTGAAGAGCCAAATCTAGGCCAATTAGAATAACCAGTGTAACTATGCCCTTGATTTCGGAAACAAAATCTAACTAGTTTGGTCTTCATGAGGTTCTGTATATAGATGATTGCCTACATCTGTTCTGCAGGACTAATCCCATTAAGTCTGTTGATCTTCCTCTTTCTACTCGAGTGAAACGCTTAAAAGCCGACTACTACCAGCACAATTATCCATCACTGAAAAAGCCATCATAACATGCCAACAGTGGAATGAAAAAGATACATCTGGTTTTAAAGCAGGGTTGCTAAGAACAGCTCTTATAGACACATTTCCATAGTGTTTCTAGAAAGAATCATACAGGTGAAACAATATACAGGTCTTTATCTATGACATACATGTTCAAATTAAGACTTCCCCTTCAGACAGGCCAATCCAAACACATAGACGGTTTGTTCTCAATGTCTGTTCTCTGTTGTCTCACTTTATACGTATAAATTCAGCATATCTTGTGGTCTAGACGGTCAATGCCAACAACTTGCATCATTGTAAATCATTACTACATGAGATAAGATTCGAAAAATGTTCGATTAATTTACCCAAATAAAATGATGCATATACTGATTGTTGAAATGATCCATCGTTTATTATACAATCTTCACTATCCCTCTGGCATTAAGAATGGGAAACAAAGCTCGATTTGATTGAAATAATAAGGAAATATACCCAAATGATCAACATCGGAGATCCCAGGGAAGAACCCTCCGGCCGGTAAACTTGGCTATTTGACGGTGGTGAAACTTAAAAAGAGTTCTTTGTGTTGTCTGTAGAACACGTTTTCGAATGTTGTAACCCAATATTCCTTCCCTGCGGCGTTGATTTGCGAACAATGATGCCACT